CTGCTCCATTTCTGATCCAGTTCTCTGCTAATGTGCCTGGGAAGACACTGGAAGGAGGTCCAAGTGCTTGGAACCCTGACACTCACGTCGGGGTGGAAGCTTGGCTCCTGACTTTGGGCTGGCCCAGCACTGGCTGTTGTGGCCATTTGGGAAGTGAATCAGGGAATGGAAGATCTCTCTTTATCTCTCCCTTTCTGTCACTATGCCTTTCAAATGAATAAATATTTTTAAAATGATTGTTTTAGTGTCTGAAACATGTTTTCCTCCTACCTCACAGGCTGTGCCTTTCCATTCTTTGTTTGATCTTCCTCTTGTTCCCTGCATCTAAATGATGTGGTGCCTCAAGAACCTTCTCACATTTCCACCGTTTTCTACTCAATGATTTCACCTGCTCCCAAGGCTTTAAACACCACCATTTTGCCGGTGACCCTAAGAGTGTATCTCTAGTCCACATTTGCCCTTGAGTAAAAGATTAAGAATGCCCAACTGACATTTCAAATTGGATTTCTTATAGGCATCTCAAAGCTGAAAAAGCACAGTGGACTCTGCGTTCAAAAAATGAATCAAAGGAACTTCCAAAATTAGGGAATCCATGATGTTCTCTCCTATTTATGCACATTTGTGGGTACTTAATCAAAGTTACACACACAGGGCTGTAAGGGTCAAGTAGTAATGCAATTCTCTGCTTTTCAGAGATAATCATGTTCAACTGATTTACCTCATTTTAAAAATAGTTATTCCATTGTTTCTAAATAATGTGATTATACTGCGGCTACTTGGTTACACAGTTGTACTGACTTCCAAAAACAAAACTTGAAGCAGGTTAAGCCTCTGCCTGTGATGCCAGCATCCCATCTGGGTGGTGGTTCAAGTTCCCAGCAGCTCCACTTCCAATATAGCTCCCCTTCCAATATAGCTCCCTATTAATATTTCTAGGAAAAGGAGTGGAAGATGACGCAAGTCCTTGGGCCCTTACACCTATGTGGGAATAAGCTCCTGGAATAAGCTCCTGGCTCCTGGCTTCTGGCTTCTGTCTCACCCAGCCATGGTTGTTGGGGCCATTTGGGGAGTGAATCAGCGATGGAATATTTCTCTGTGTGTCTCTTCCTCTCTCTCGGTAACTACACCTTTTAAATAAATAAATAAATATTTTTTAAAACAGCAACAAAGAATGAAGATTTAAATCTCCTTTGTCAATATCCATCCCCTCATTTTCTTCCTATTCTCAATATGGTTACATTGTTATTATTGTGGTTATATCAAAACTGCTTCACATGATTTGGACACAGTATGTTCTATTCATAACTGAGCTAGGTGATTTGTTTGACTGGGGCTTCTTTTTCTTTTCTGCACAGCTTTTTGCTTCTGTTACGTGTAAAACTTTTTTTCAGTTGCTTAGATTTCCATGTTCTAATAAGAAATTCATTCCCATCCTCCCAGTAAGGAAATTTCTTTCAAATAATATGTGAACATGAGAGTATCTGTCTCTCTGTCTCTTCTTTCTCTCTTTCTGGATCTCTCTGGCTTTGTCTTTCAAATTAATTAAATATAGAAAAAAACTTTTTAAAGATAAGTTTATTGGTTAAAAATGAACCATAATGAAGGAGATGGGAGAGGGAGAGGAAGGTGGGATGGGAGTTGGTGTGGGAGGGTGGGTATGGGGGAAAGAACCACTATATTCCCAAAGTTTTATCTATGAAAAAATGCACTCATTAAATAAAAAACTTAAAAATGATGTTTATTTGTGCACAAAAAGTTGAATTCTGTGCATTGCGTTCATAATAGTAATTTTCCATGGACTTCTTGAAGTTCATGACTTTAATTATACTTCGTGGGTTGTTTCCTCAGCTCTATCTTCTAATCCTTCTGACAAGGCATTTTATTTATGCTATCTTTAATTTCAAAGATATACTTATTTTGGTTGAATATTCCATTTTCTAACATCTACTCATAAGACAATATGCTGTTCGAGAAAAACATTGATGGTCCCTTAAGTCTCCTGCCTTCTAGTATTCTAGTTTGGTTTTCTTCCACCAATTTATATTTCTCTGATTGTTCTCTCATTACCCTAGTTCAGCCTTTAGAATAGAGGCTTTTTTGGATGGTTTTGGTTTTTGGTCTCTGCATTTAATACTGGAAACTTTCCTAAAGTACCTAATAATCCTCAACTATTTGCTTATGTTCAAAACTGGGACATTAAAAAGCTGATTGCATGGTCTGTGAAAGTGAGATATGGTGACCCTTGGAAAAACAATTCATCAGCAAATACTGAAAGTTATTATCTTAAGTATTTTCCTTTGATAGAATCAGATTCTCCAGAGATGGCTGGTCAGACTGGCCTGGAAAATGTAAGACTTGCTGTCAGTGTTATACATCAACTTTCACTAAACCCCTTGCTTTCCAGGGTGGGGTAGAGATGGGTAGGTGTGAAACCTCTCTCAACTGATTCTCGTGCCTTGTAGCACAAATAGCCCATGTTTCCCCAGAGCTCCCTATAATGTATTGTTAGGATGAAGAGACAGTTGATGGGGATCTAAGGATCTAACTCCTTCCAACATTGACTGTGATCCAACTGTGCTATTCAGTCCCCAAAATAGCCCCACTTCTTAAGGTACCTGGTGCTGCCATTTCTTTGGTCTCTTGGGAGACTCAGCAGTGTGAAGCAGATTGCTTCTTGCTTTCCTACAGCTACTTAATACTCAACTTTCTTAGGTAGTCTAAGTCAGTGGACATCTCACCTACTTTCCAAAGTTTTCTTGCTGAGGTTAACTCCTCTCTCACTCTCTGAACTTAGGAGTTCATGCCTGTGATCCCTACTTCTCTCATTGTTGCTGGGAACTGTGACTTTCTTCTAGAATAGGGGAAAAGTTATGGGATGTCCCTCTCTTTATCTCCCTGTATTACAACAAGGCACTTTTTTAAACATAGACAGAAATTAGCATATCTCCTTATGGGTTTAATGATGAAAGTGGCCAACCTGGAGAAATGCAAGTAGCAAGCAAATATGGCAAGCAAATTAGGGTCTAAGGCTAGCCTCCAGCCAATATTCTGCAAAAGCCTATCATCTTCATTCTCAGATCTGCAAGGAAATGAATTCTGCCAACAACCTAAATAGATTGGTCATGAATTTCTTCTCAGTTGGGCTTCTTGAGACAAACACAGTCCCAACCAGCACCTGGACTATAGCCTTTTGACATCCTGAGTAGAAGGCCAGCAAAGCTGTACATGAAATCCATATCCATAAATATTGTAAGATAAGAAACTGATGTTGTTCAAATCTGCTAAGTTTGGGGCTGGTGCCGTGGTTCACTTGGTTAATCCTCTGCCTGTGGTGCCAGCATCCCTTATGGGCACCAGGTTCTAGTCCTGGTTGCTCCTCTTCCAGTCCAGCTCTCTGCTGTGGCCTGGGAGGGAAGTGGAGAATGGCCCAAGTGCTTGGGCCCCTGCACCCGGAAAGGAGACCAGGAAGAAGCACCTGGCTCCTGGCTTCGGATTGGCACAGTGCCGGCCATAGCAGCCATTTGGGGAGTGAACCAACGGAAGGAAGACCTTCCTCTCTGTCTGTCTCTCTCTCACTGTCTATAACTCTACCTGTCAAATAAATAAAAAAAAAATCTTCTAAGTTTGTGGCATTTTCTGTACATTAGTAGAACATGATTATAAAAGGAAGTGTAGCAATAGAAAAGTGTTACAATGCTTTTCTCTTTTTGATTCTTTATTGCTGTTTTAATAGCATTTTTGGTGAGTTTTTATTGTACTCAGTGGATTAGACAAACATGACCATAGTAAGTTATCAAACACGTTTATTTTTGTCTCTTGTCTTTGTCTCTTGTCATCCTTTAAAATTTATTTAGTGAGAAAATGTTTTCATTCTCATGAGATATACACCAGTTATACTCCAACATTTCTGGATAATAACATTTTGATCATTTTAAGTAGTTCGATGATTAGTATGCCCAGCATCATTCAATAGTAAAAAAAAAGTATAAACAAATCAGCATTAAAATTTTCTTCTTTCCCAACTGAGTCCTGTTTTGGGGTGGCTACTTACACTAGCACACCTTCCCTTACTGGTTGACATTTTTGCTAACTTTTTCTCACTCTCTGTCTACCCTACCTCATGTATTGAGATTTCTGACCTCCACTTCCCCCAGATCCCAGAGAAGAGGGAGTTGTTTTATAAGACAGGGTGACCTTTTATATGGTGTCAAGACTGTCTGCTTCCTAACTAGATAGAATAATGGAGGGAGTACTCAAGATGTCTTTAGAAATTTTCATGCCCCTGATCTCTCATCTGCAATTCCTTTAACCTGTGCAGACTCTTCTGTATTATGGGTAGTCATTTGTGAATCCTTCCTCATTGTACAACCTGGCTTTGCCTCTAGTTTCTTGATGTTGGGATCCCGCTACTTCTTTGGATGATACAATGAGACAAGACCAAACACAGCACCATGCTGGTGCTCATTTCCCCACTTCCTCTCTCTCATACACACATTTCACTATGGTCCATGAGAAACACACACACACACACACACACACACAATCTTTGCTATGGCACATTGGGCAGGCAGGCTAGTCTCAACAGAGTCACTTCAGGGTTTGGCCACTAGAACTATAGCCACAATTTTAGGAGAAAACCAAGTCCCAGTCAGCATGCACTCTAATTGTTGTGGTCCCAAAGAAAGCTATCTCAGAAGTCCTGTCTCACTCAATTTGAGGTTGGTGTCAGGCATTCCTTCTTCTGTCACATTGGGGGCTATGCAGAGTAACTTCTTCAAGGAAATCCTTTCTATAAAATTCTCTTTTGATTCTTGTATATCTTTAGGGTATGGAATCATCCAACTGCAAATTTCCTTTGAATATTCCTCTGATATTCCATGAGTACTGCATGTTGGGGCTTTGTCGACCTTTAAGTTTGAATTTTCTCTATTCCTGCCTATTTAGTTCTACTCCATTAACTAGAAAGTTCTCATGATACCTTTATTTGAATACAACAAAGACTTTCTTTTTAAAAAAAAGATTTATTTTACTTATTTGAAAGGCAGAGTTACAAAGAGACACAAAGATTGGGAGGGAGACCTTCTGTCTACTGGTCCACCCCCAAATAGCCTCAATCACTGTGGTTGGGCCGGGCCAAAACCAGGAGCCAGGCGCTTCTTCCTGGTCTCCCACGTAGGTGCAAGGACCCAAGGATTTGGGCCATATCACAATGCTTCTCTCAGATGCATTAGCAGGAAGCTGGATCAGAAGTGGAGCAGCCAGGACTTGAACCAGTGCCTGTATTGGATGCTGGCCACAATGCCAACCCCACAAAGATTTTTCATGTTGGGAAGCTAACAGATGCTTCAAAGACTTTACAATTCTCAAAATAGCAAGTTTAAATCCAAGGGCTTGTGTATTCTGGGCACTGTGGTGAGGGATAAAACTTGGGTGAACCAGAAATGACATAAGTATGGAAGGAAAATATTGTTTCACATAGCATCTATTTACCTGCTGCCCTGAATCTCATCCAAAAATAGCACTAGCCACACAAATCAACAACTTTCAAAAGAAGATGGAATAAAATCAGGTATGCTTCAAGGCGTCTCTCTGAAAGATGACAACCAAATCCTCCTTCAACTTCCTTCTCACATTGCCTTGTAAACTAGAAAATACCCTACTACATATCAAATCATGTTTTATACTTTCTGCTAAATGGCTGAAAAAGTATCTGAAATGGAAGCTTTGATTTTACTTCTAACTTTCAAAGTTAAATGGCTGAACCTAAGAAGTGAAAACAAGCATAAAATGCTTTTTGTCTAGAAAATTTATTCCAATGACTTTTTAACAAGAAAGTAAACATGGCCCATTAATAATAAGGCTATTTCATGAAGTTTTCTTGTTCCAATCCATATGATTTGAAATGTTACATGAATGTTATTTTATGAAAAGGAAACCATAGTTTGCAGTCATGAAAAGATGGCACAATTGACAAAATTTCCAACAAAATATACACTTCTGCATTTATAGAGCAACTTCTTTGAATCTACAATATGAGAATAAATCTTTCCATTTAATTGAAGATAAAGGAGGTGGTGATGAAGGTGCTGAGACCACCTTGTTTTATTCCAAGATTCCTAAACCAAAAAAAATCTCAACTAATAAGATATTTTCTCACTGACATTTAGCTCAAAATGTCCAAGTGCTTCAAAAAGTTTTCCTTGATATTAGGCTTCTTTGCCTGATTCAGTTGATAAAAACTGAGTTAGCATGATGTGGTTGGAGGAACTCCTAAAGTGAGAAAGTGTATAATTGCCTGAGGGAGAAAAAAAGAAAATAAGAATTAACTGCTGCTACACTGGAGTCATGCACAAAGCCAAAATGAAAACAAGTCTGCAGAAGATGCTAGGAACAATCCTAAGAAGCTGTTAGGAACATGGTTGGTCATGATGCACAGTATGTCACCATCACCATAGAAGCTTGCATTTGTCAGGCATTTCTGAATTGAGAAGATAAGTACCATGTTTTCAGATATTGCTGGAAAATGAGATAAAGCAGGTATGAGATCACAGCATGTTATTGCTGAAAACAATTTCGGTGGTCTCTTAGTTTATTGCTTTGCTGATAAAAAATAAACATCTAGAGAGGTAAAGAGACTTGTAAAAAGCACTCAAGCTGTTTGGTGACAGGGATAACAAGACTCAAGGGTCCTGCATGAGCATATTCTCCAGATACTATCTGATATTTAAATAATTTAGATGGGAATCTAAAATGAATTGCCCATTGCCCTACCTTAATGACAACATTAACATCATTTAAGTGAAATGGGATTTGGACTGCTAAGTGTGACTTCAACTTAGCTTGTAACACAATATCTTATCCTCTCTTTATGTGCTCTACTGTTATCCTCCAAGAATACCAAGACTGTTTTCAATGCTTAAATATTTGTCTTCCAGTAGCTGAATAGTGTAGACTTTACTCACCACTAATATGTAATATAAGAGTAACAGATTCCATAGGTGGAAAGCACTGTGCTATAGGCATGGTCCCTCACTCCACAAGGACACCTCAGAGAGAATATGTCAGGTAGCAGCACACAAGCAAATGACTCAATGCCCATGTTCAGTGGGTAGCACAAACTGGTGATTCTCCAATAAGAACACAATTGGTGTTGTTCTAACTCCACCACATAACATCAGTGATCAAAGCTAGAGATTTGCGTAATGTCTAACTGAGAAATGGGGATAATGTAGGATGCAATTATTTAATGACACTTGCTAGTCTCCATGAGCACCAAATCCCCAATATTGTTCTGTCATCCCTGAGCACAATCCAGAACTACGGATACAAAGTCAGCAGATACACTTCTCACATGCATTTTAAAAGTCACCATTGGATTGGATGAAATATACTTATATTCTATCTTTCCACCTTGTACAACCTTTGGTTTTCTTGTAACTCACCTTTGTTTTGCAGTGGATTAAAAGTCTTCATAAATTTGGGTTTGGCCGACACATCTGATGAGTTTTGCTATACAAAAGAACAACAAACCATTTAGACACCAACAGTATTCTTTCCATCACACTCTATTTTTCCTGGCTTCTTGGTGCTATTAATGATCCAATATTCCATCTGTACATTCTCTTTCTGAGAATAGAACAGTCACTTTCTTACTTTCCAAGACTAGAGAGTAGTTGCTTCTTCTGCTTTCATCTATTTAAATGTATAAGAATTTATTTCCAAGAGAATTTTTATTATACTTTTGTATGAGTTCCACCAACAAACTAGAAAACAGTTTTAAAGGAGATATTATCACCTTTCATTTTCTCTTCATCCTTACCTTTTTTAGGATTCACACATTTATCACCACAAGAGAAACCCATGGGGGAAAAATAAAGAACACCCCCAGCAGAACATGGTCTCCAGTAAAACTATGCCTTTCAGATATCTTTGGGGACAATCCTTTAGTTAATTGGTATAGATACCATTTAGAATTCAATAATTTTAAAACTGAATTATCAAACCAACAATTATTTGAAAATTATAAAAATTATTAAAATCAACAATTATCAAATCAACAATTATTAAAACAATTACCAAACACAGTGTCTTTGTGTGTCAAATACTGTTTTAGGCACTGGAAATATTAGAAGGAATGACTCTCATCCCCTGCTACAGCCCATGAGGGAGTCAACATGGGAGATGAGAGAAACAGTTTTTTATTATACACAGTAGCTATAGTAGTGTTTCAAATTTTCACCAAAATAGCCAAGGGACTAATGGGGAGAAAGGTTATAAAGATGATGAATGAAAAAGTTCTGAAACTTTCAAAGAGAAAGAATTGATTTCCCAGAATTCAGGGTTCAGCAAATATACATAGAAATTTCAAAAAGTCTGTGGAAAATGGAATTAAAAGATAAGTTTACTTTGATGCAAAATTTTTTAAATCCACACATAATTTTTTCATAATATGCATTTTCCATGAAACTTTTGAGGATCCTTCATAGACACAGATTTTAATATTTTGGTGACAAAATCAATTTATCTTTTGATTCCATTCTTTCACAAACTTTTTGAGGTATCCTCATAAAATGTTAGAGCCCTAGAGGAAATCCTCAAATCAGGAACATTGCATTTAAAACTATATCCTGTCCCAAATCCAGAATCTAATGTTGCAACACTTTCAGGAACTCTGTGTAGTCTGGGAAGATTCAGTCTCTTCAGCCATATAAAGTTACATCTAACGGTCTAAGTTGTGGTCAATAACAGGATCTGAGTCACAGAAATTAGCTGTAGCTCAAGAAATCCATTCTTCATGGAAGGGTGTACTGTGGGGGCCACCAGAGCCTGTCTCTTGATGAAGAGCTGCCGAGAACATGGCTAAGGACAAAGAAGGGTCGAGAAAAGGGCCGTGAGCTCCAAACACAGAATGATTTTCTGTGATGCCACTGACTGGGTCTACATACCAGACTGCTTTTCCATTCTCTTCGGCTGGTTGTGTTGTCACAGCTTTTTTTGAGATCCCTACTTTACCAACTCTTGCCATCTCTCAGTGGATAGTCTTATCCCCCGCTTTAAGGAAAGGTATCAAGGACTGACTGAACTCTCAATGTCATTACTCCACTGAGTGTGTGTTGCTCTATCTGTAGCAATCTGATACCTCCTGTGTCAAAGCAAGTGCCCTCATTTTCAATCCAACCACTCCATCTGTCCTCCCAGGAATGCTCTTGTATCCACCATCCTCCTTCTCTCATTTGTTTTCAAACTGTCTTTGCTGGCTCAGCACTCCCAGCATACAGACTTCCTCCCATGAAAGCAACTTGAACTATCCCATCACTCCTGATCTGTCTGTACCTGGTTACCACCCTTGCTCTCACAACAAGTCTTCAAAGAACGTTTCTACCCAGTGTTATCACTGCTTCATCTTCTCATCACTCATAATCTGGGTTCCTGATTTTTTATTCACACTCCTAAAAATGACAAATACTCATCTTTTCCTGCAATATCCATTTTCATGTTAAAGCAAATGTGCTACCTAACCATACAACAAAATCTCATTTTTCTCACCTGACTTGATACCACAACTGCGAAGGAATTACAAATTCAAAGCAGTAAATCCTTCACCAACCACTGATGCCTTCTGAAAAGTCACCTCTGGGTTACAAACATGGAGAAACACTGTCAGGTGTTTTTATTTTGTTTTATTGTGCTTTTGGGTGTGTTTTGATTGTCAAATAAGGAAAATTCCGACTTACTTCTTTGTAGTGTGGCAAGTGTCCTGTCTCATTTTACTCACTAAATGTTTTTCTTTGATGTAGTCACATGTGCTGAAACTCCCTTCTTAAGAGTAGATAATGACATTAGTTTCACATTTCCTGGTTCAAGGGATTTTAGGTCTTCAAAGACATAAAACCCAAGTCACAGCATGTTAGAACTTCTGCTTTGAGTAACTAGTCCAAGACTTAATTTTTACAGTTGAGAAAATTTCAGCTCAAAGAGACCAAGTGAGTTTCTGACAATCACACAACCAGTTGGTTATGGAGGCAGAAATACAGGGCAAGTCTGCTGGTTCACAGGCTGCTGCTCCCTAATTGGCAGCAGGGCCTTCTGCTATAACTTGCAAACCAAGGAAGATTTCTTAATGCCGGAAGATGAGCTCCTCATTGATTTTTATTTCAAAGGGTTACATTGTTGCTTGTCAAAATCCCTAAATACTCATGATGATTTGGATTCAGTTAAATCAGTTGACCTTTTAGCAAAGAAACCTCTGCCTTTAGAGCCCTTTCTGAAAGGCCTTGCTGAAAGGCAAAAGCTTATTTTAATATCAGAAATACAAAATATGTATAATAATACACTCCCATTTGTTTCTAACTATGGATTGCAAAAAATAACTTTCAGGACAAAAAATGAAACATGAATTCTCCGTTTCTATGCAAGCTTGTCAGTTTGTAGACTCAGAGCTCAGATTGTAAGAGACAGAGACAGTGACAAAGAAAGAAAGTACTCAGAAAGAGTATATCCCATATGAGACCAATCAAATTTACATATTAAAAGTTAATAAAGATCTCCTGCTTTTCCTTTCTAGAGAAGAAACTATGATCTACAAAAGGCCAAGAAAGTCAGGTGGAGAAAAGACCCCTACTGATTCTAGTGTTGGGAGGCAAGTCAGACGACAACAAATGATGTTGTTCAAAGATATTTGCCCACAACAAGCACCTCCACTACCAAGCATCCTTAAAAATGTGTCCATGCTTTCACCCTTAGTCATTCAATAACTCTTTGTTGAGTATGACCATGGGTTGCTCATCATACCAGGAATATAATTGTGGCAAGAAATTCAAGGGGTTTACACAGAAGTGGGAATGCTGCAAGACCGTTTAAAGAGAAAAATGCAAAACTGGAACTTCAGACATTGGATGCATAGAATTATAAAGTAATTACCTTTGATGTCTGCTTCCAACTGACTAATGGAGAAAACTTATTGAACAGAAGTTGTCGAAGCTGTAAAGGAAAGAAAGAAATATAGAGGAGGCACACTTATACAATCATATATAAATGTGTAAAGAAAAACTCACAGGTTGAAATTGTTATACAATAATATCATCTCCCAGAAGCACTTAGTAGACATAGATGTGAGCACCTAATGGAAAGATTATTTTTTTAGCCTCCTTACCTATTATCATAGCTAGAATAAAAGAACAATAGTACCATAAGCCATAATAATTCATATTCTAGACATTAGTATTTGGCAATAATTGGTAAATTGACATTTATTTGTGAAGGAAAGAGTTTGCCAACCATGTGAATGGTAAAAGCAAACAAATTAGGTAGTACAATCAAGTACAGTAAATTGTTTCCTTATAAATAAGAGTTTATGTGCATGTTTCACAATTGTGTTAACTATAAAATAGTCTTACCTCTTTATTAAGGCAGAGAATTCGCATCTATTAGCATATTGCCTTCACCACTCTCAACAGAATTAAATAAAGCTTGGACAAAATAATGAATCATGTTTATTTACATTTTTCTGTTATCTTTTACATGAACTATTCTTCATTAGGGACTTAATTTATTGTGAGAGGCTAGTTAACATTTACTATATAAAATTCTAGAAATATAGAATTAACTATATATTTCAATATATTGGGAGTAAATTGATAACTAAAGGAGAAAGAGGGAATCCACCCTTGGTAGAATAATTTTGCTCTTGAATTATTACCAGGCCATAATTTATGGAATCAACCCAGATGTCCATCAACTGCTGACTGAATAAGGAAATTGCGGTGTATATATATATATATATATATATACACACACACACATACATACACAATGGAACACTATTCAACAGTAAAAAAAAAAAAAAAAAGAATGAAACCCTGTCTTTTGCAATAAAATGGATGCAACAGGAGACCAGCATGCTTAGTGAAATAAGCCAGTCCCCCAAAGACAAATATCGTATGTATTTCTTGATTTGTGATAACTGATCTACAGAGTCCAAAAGAAATGTATATGAGTCAAATTGACATTTTGAGATTTGATTATTGTTTGTAGCTTTTGTCTAGACTCTTGAAAACAGTGGTCTTTCTACTTACTACTTGTTAAATAGTTTATTTAGTGGAGGGTTAAGCTGGAGATTATACAGTAAATTGGAAGTATGTCATTGTAAAAATTAAAGAAAAATAAAAAAGGAAGGAAGAGGGAGGGAAGAAAGGCATGGTGGAAAATATCAGTATGCTCCTAAAACTATGAAATATATGAAATTTGTTTCTCTTATATAAATAAAAAATTTTTAAGAAAAATTAAAGGTAAAAAGACTTTCCCTTCTTTTCTCATATTGTTCATATCCATCTTGCAATCACTTCTATTTAAAATGCATTAGCAGCAGTGACAATTTAGCTCTTTTGTGTCTTCAGGCTGCTTTCTGTGAAATTACAGTATTTTATTGTAAAGGTGCTCATAGTCCATCCATTAATAAAGGCCTCATAACTGGAAGGGATAAGTAAAAACTTCATGGGTTAAGGGGTGAAGATAGAAAGTAATATACTTACCTTATTATCCAAGAATATTCCACAACATAGGATGAAAAACCCCTTAAACAAAAATAAAGAAATCACATGTGCTATCTTTTTCTCTTCCAGTAAAGAAAGCATTTATATGTAATACTATTCTGTTGTTACCCAACATTGAAATTGTTCTTTCTCTACTTGAAGGCAATAATACTGTGTAGTCTCCACAATGCCTAGAGCTAAACAGATTACTCAAAAAAATTGAGTGTATAAATAAATAGTTGAGTGCATGAAGTTTTAAATGCATGCAGAGATTCATTCTCCCTTTTTGAGTCATGCCAAACCCCAAAAAATACCTTCCATTTTGCTGCTGTATCTTGACCTTTCTTTAGACCAAGCATTTAATAAATATCCACCATGCATGATGGAAGAAGGCAGTGAGGTCCAACCAATGAACAAGTAAAGGGATTTGACCTAAAAGTGGGTATGATTTCCTGTTACTTTAAGAACAGCTCTCAGGGAAGTCTTGGCAAAGGCTCTCTTGGACCCTGAAATCCATCTCCAAGTCAGAATACCTTCAGCTGGTGCCTGTTCAGACAACAAGAACCTACCCTTACTTTCTCATCAGAGCTCTCAAACTCGTCATCATTAGATGCATGCCTTCCATGACTACCACCTACACTACTACAAGTGCTGAATAGCGGTGTGCTGAATAGCTGGTGTGCTAAATACTGGAGAATCAGCTGTTGTTAGAAGACAGGTATTGAGCATTTATTATGTGCCTGGCACTATCCCAAGTGCTAAATTATCATTTAGCCCTCATGTTTACTCTATGATATAAGCAACATATTATTGTCTATTTCACAGATGAGAGAATTGGGTGACAGAAAGATTAAGTAACTTGTTAGAGGTCACATAGTTGGTTAAGTGATGTATGAGTCCAGGCCTATTTAACTCCAAAGCTCAAAGATTCACTGAGTCATGGTCCAAGGAGTCCAGCAAAAATTTCACGGGACCAGAATTGAAGGCTCTCTTCCAGATTCATCAAAACCTAGGTGTTACTTTGTCTACCCACTGTCTGAACACTCAGATGATACCGTGTGAAACCTGTCCTCTATAGTAAGGATCAAAAAACTTTTCCTATAATGAGTCAAGTTGGAAGCATTTTAGGTTCCACAAGCTCTACAGTCTATCATGCAACTACCTGACTCTGGTGTGGTTGCAAGAGCATAGATCATATGTAAATTAGTGGGCATGGCTGTGCTCTAATAAAACTTATTTACAAAAACAGGCTACTGGTCACATTTGCTGGCTCCTGCTTTATTACACTCTGGGGATTTATTTTACACCACTCAGAGCCAACAAATAGTTTTGATTTCCTTTCTTTGTGTGCTTTATTAGATATCTGGGAAAGAGAAAGAGGACTGAATCAGCAGAAAGATAGATTAACATCAGCTGCGTGAACGTTAAGCTACTTTAAGGTTTGCAATGGATTACTAAAAAAGTCCAATATTTTGCTTCAATATTATGGTAAATGATGGGGAAAATGGAGTTTTTCTATTCACTGTTTCCATTTGGTTTTGATTCAATTTTGTTAGAGGCAAGGAGATGAGATAATTCCCAGAGCAGTATTAACCAGAGTTCTTTACACTTATTCCATTTAGTTCAAAATATAACCGGTTATTCTAATTTTTCTTACCTGAAGTGCATTGAGTAATGCAAAAATTATGTGCCAAGCCCAGTTGTGGTTGTCCACCATTGTTCCTATACCAAAGCCCCAAGTGAGCCCTAGTAGAGGGGTCAGAATGAGGAGGCTCTTCCCCATGCGGATGACAGTGGCCTTGTCATCATGACTCAGTCTTTCTCCAACAGCTGGCCTCCAGAGCTTCATGAGAACTAAGATCACCACAACAAAATTCACAGTCACAATAGTCAGTGCAGGCACAACAAAAGCCAAAAGTGGTTTGCTCTCGCTGGACCAGTTAAGCCAACACACCACTTCACTTTTGTAGCTGTCTCCAGGTTGTGTGACTGCAATGGTGATGACAGATATAACAAGAGGGCACCCATAGCCCATGCAGAAGCCGATAGCCTTCATCAAAGGCATGGCCATATGATGGAACACGAGGATGATCCGATAAGCCAACAGGACACCAAGTGTGAGCATCCAGAAGAACAAAGAGAGGTAGAAAAAATGTGTAAAGAACACTGCAGCAATACAGAGTCCAGAAGGGTTTACCGTAGTGTCCACCGTGGCAGCAACAATAAACCAAATATCAGCAATCAGCAGGGACAGGGCTAGGTTCACCATGCAAATATGGTGTGTGTATGAAATCTGGCTTTTCTTGATTTGCTTCCATAGCAGAGCCTCAATGGCCAGGCATAAGGTGAGACTTAGGATGGAAATACTCAGTCCCACATAGGTGATCCATTTCACAACAGGGATGATCACAGCGGGGACAAAGGGTGACATCAACATGGAGAAGGAGGTCAGGTGAGTACATTTACACACCACTGTGTCTGGAGTTTCATTCACGAGGTAGCAGCCTGCATTGTTCCACTGCACATTACGAAAATCCCAAAACACGCAATGGGGCTGGCTCAGGTTTGATTCTATCTTGGAAAAGGTCAGGAAAACTTCACTGATGGAATAGTTTTGGATAACTGTAGACATCACAGGTCCATTGACCTGAAAATGTTCATGTGTAGTAATGGGTAGAATTTTCCCCATGGTCAATGAGGCCATGCTGATTATAGTTTGAGGAAGTGGTCTCTGAAATTGGTCTGGCCCAATTAATATGTGGCCTCTGATAGGAATGGAGGTGTTTTTTTGCAACATTTCCATCTGATAGTTGTAACCCTCTTGGACTTGACTTTCAGTCACAGGAATCCCTTTCCAGTTAATGAATTTTCCAGAAAAATTCAGAGGCAGAGCTGTCAGAGGAACCAGAATGCTGATGTTTTCCAGTGTCTCTAGTAACTGTGAGCTGACATGCTTTTCTTCCTGCAGTAAGACTTCCCAGTAAGTTATTGATGATGAATTAAGGATATGGTCAGCTATGCTGATAACATCCTGAAATAGAAGGATGAAATTCAGTTAGTGTTTTGAATAAACAGGTAAGAGGACTAAGAATGGATTGTCGTTTGAATGAAGTATAGGAAAAATGCCTAGGAAATCAGCTCAGTCGAGAACCACATCCAAACTCATCAATTCAATTCAGCTCTGTTTCTCTGTTCCTGTGGGAACTGTGGGTTCAGAACTTGGGTCAACAGAATCATGTCATTTCCAGGGTGATCACCCGGGCATTTGTAAACACACTGAAGTTTCAGCATGGGATGAGAAAGCATCCTGCAATTTTGGCTGCATGAGTGTGAATTTGCTTCTTCCTGAGGGGGTAAAATGACTGCACTGCGACTAAGGTTTGACACTCAAAGATGGAGACACCACTTTAAAATGCTTTCCTATTTTCTGTTTGTTTTGCTAACATCAGAAGTACTAAATTCATGTCAAAGATGTGCAAATTTGAATTCATTCTTGTTCTTTTGTTTACTTCAGATAGCTTGAGAGATTCCTTTTCCAAGCAACTCCTTGAAAACTGTCGTTTTCTGCTGTAGGACCCAGTGTCTTACTTCTGGCCTGGTTCCCAGGCCTCAGGTGCAGGCATCTGTCACGCTGGTAGAGTCTTACCCTAATGCGATCTCTGTGGCTTCTAGCCCAGAATCTCAGTATACTTCTTTACCCCTAAAAAATCTGCTTTTTTTTTTTTTTGCTTTGTTTGTCTGCTCTGTGTTCATCTTTCATTTTATTTTTAGCCTTTGCATTTAATTTTATTTGGTCTCTTGTAAATAGCATGTAGTCAAGTTTTCTAAAAAAAAATTTTTTTTGAGTATCTTTTCTTTAACTCCCTGAGTTAAACTCATTCATATTTACATCATGTATGATGCATAAATTTGTGATTTTATAATACACAATACAAGAATACTTCCAATAGTTTGTGGGAAAATGGAATTAAAATGTAAGTTTATTTTGGTATATATTTTTTTAAATCCATGCATAAGTTTTTCATCATATACATTTCCCAAAAATTTTTAGAAGACTCATTGTACTACATCGAAATAAACTTTAACATATAAAACACATACATCTAAAATGGAAGAATACTTGTTAAATAAATAGTTATTGATCAACTCCTATGTTTCTCTTCTTACCTAAAATGTTAACAGTGGCTGTTCTAGGGTAATCAGATGACAGATCATTTATTATTATTCACTTTTTTGACATTCTTATAATGACCATGTATCTTGTATTTAATGTTTAAAATTAATTATTAATGCTCAAACTAAACTATGAATTCTCCAGTCTAGAGAAGGGAGTTCTTAAAATACATACTGCTAAAGTCATAACTGTGGTCACAGGAAAGAAAAATTACAGACCATAAACATATATTGAAAAACTGGCACCATGTCACTTAGTCAGAAGCTTATCCCTTCCTCTAAACCAGGTGCTTCCCAGGAAGATTCCACAGGAAAGCTCTCTCCTAAGTTGAACCCCTACTATTGACTACTTGGGTTCCTTGTATACTGCAGAGAAAGCAATAAAGCTCACAAGAGGATTGTGATGCAACTTTCCTGTCTTATCCAGTGGCTCTTCTTCATTCAGGCTTTTGTCATTTCTCCTACAGTACAGAGCATTGAACATGAGCCCTTCAAGCCCAGGCAGACCATACCTCCATTGTCGAATTGGACACCCTGAAATGGTTTGCCAAAGAAAGGGATGAAACGTTGCTCAGGATGGACACCACTGAGGCCAGATTCCCAGCTGTGGTCGGAGCATTTTGCTGAAGGATGATTGAAAGATTGTGCACCAAGGATGACATGTCTGCCTCAGTAGCATTGTCTGCAATTACACTGAAATTCTAAAAATAAAAGTGGTTAAGTTCTTAAAAACTATGAAGTGCTTATGTTCCATCAAATTTAAATCAGATGTCTTGGCCTCACAAAACTAACATTTGCACTGTGTATTTTGATGTAGGATAATTATATAGCACAGGTAACAACAGCTGTTATTGGATGTTTTCTCTATTCTAGCCATTGCACAAAATACTTTACCAGGGATTCACTGATTGAATTCTTATTTTTTAAGATTTATTTATTTGTTTGAAAGTCATAGATAAGAAATAGAGAGAGGAAGGTGGGGGGGGGGGTAGGGGGGTCTTTCATCCACTGGTTCAATCCCTAAATGGCCACAATGGCCCAATGCTGGACCAGGCAAAAGCCAGGAGCCTATTCCAGGTCTCCCACATGGGTGCAAGGGTCCAAGCACTTGGGTCATCCTCCACTGTTTTCCCAGGCACATTAGCAGGGAGAGAGATCAGAAGTGGAACAGCCAGGACTTGAACCGGCACCCCTATGGTCAGTGTCGTAGGCAGCAGCTTAATCCAGTATGCCCCAATACCGGCCTCTGACTGGATTCTTGCAACACCCTTTGAGGGAGGTCTCTTCAACATTCTTATTTAAAACCAAGGAAACTAAAACTTGAAAAATTTCATTAAAAACCAATTTTATATTCATTATTATCTAAACTATATAAAAACTGAGTTTCAGTTAGATTTGATGGCCTTCCAAAGAGTGCTAAACTAGAGGGTAGAATAAAGTTTACTGGTTACTAATCCTGTGTTATAAGGACTATGTTGAGAATTCTTTGAGGCACTGGAAGATGGAGAGACATACATAGTGCTCTGAGCACTGGGCTGTGCAAGCCTCCACTTAGTCACTGGATTTGGAGTTTTACTTACTGGAAGCTCCCATCCACTTCCACTATATTGCAATAACTTGGAAAGTCGTAAAGGAAAAATATCCATCCAATACAAGTTGGTCCAGGAGCTCAGATCCACCTGTGATCCCTCTTGTTCTTCTCAGCTGACAGTGCTGTTCCCTGGCCAGGGCACCTGGGATCTGCCTGCACTCATGCCCTGGGACACTCTAGTCACAACTATTTTCCACATCCAGAACTGAGACAAAGCAATCAAGAGCAACAACAGTCCCCACAAGCTTTCTGACCCAATCCGCTTTCCCTGAGGTCTGAAAAAGAAAAGTAAAGATTCCACAGCCTTCTCTTAAAAAATAGCGTTCTGAGGTTCTCTAGGGCAACAGCAGGGTCTCCGGCTGGGGCAATCATTCTGCTCAACATGAAGATCTACTTGCAGAACAGTGTCTGTGAACTTGGAGTCTTGAAGTTCTTCTTTTGTGACTTGAGTTCTAATTACTATTTACTTCCTTCTTTCTATTCACCTTGCTTAACACTTGAAACTTAGAGTATCATATGAAGGTCACAGAGTTGAACTGGAAATCAAATGTGAAAGAAACTAGAAAGTTTAACAGTATTGCAACCAGAGAGACTGTTGGTCCCTTGGTCTTTTGTTTCTTGATCTATAAAAGGAGTTGGTAAACCTGATGGCCCTTAAGGTCCACTGTAGTTCTGTCATTTTGTGTGGTTTGCCTCTGCCTGATCCATTCCCTGCTCGGATTTTTCATATGTGTGTATCTTCACTTGTTTTAATCAACTGGCTCTGTTTCACACCTGCATTTTGAGCTTTGATTTCCAGGCCTTCTGGACTTCTGAGGCCAGCTTGCCACTCTATCATCTGTCACAGATCTCTGATTAACTCCTCTGCACTTTTCCCTAAAAAACATCAAGTCTGACATTTTCTGACCCTTTCAGCTGCCACCTAGACTCTGCCTCATATTTATGCTCTCTGGGTTTCCCAGGGTTTCATGTCACCCTTGCCTTATGCATTGTGAACAATGATCATACAGATATATTTCACTCTCAAGTAGCCAGGCTTACTGGGAAATCCCCATGTGAGTCTCAACACCAGGATTCATCCACAAAGTAGAAATGCTTCACCTTCTGCAGTTCTTGTAGCTGAGACAGCACGCAGTTCTCCCTGATGACCTGCCACCCAGAGGACTGGCACCTGGCTGTGATGTTTCCATTGTAGCCACTGCTACAGGGAAGAGTGTACTCATCGTTGATAGAACCAAATCCAAAGACAATGTTGTTACACTGGGCTGAAAAATAATGAAAACAGAAAGGAAAACTGACTCAGAATATCCTAGTGTGCTTTCTAAACCATGTAGAAATGTTTAAATGTTCTGGAAGTCATATGGCAGAGCCAAACCCAGGCAGACTCTCTAAGTAGAAGTTCATCTTCGATGTCCAGCTTCATCTTTATCAGTGTCCATCCTTTTCCTTAAAGAGTCCCCTTCCCTGAACTGGCTCCTCCCTCCAGGTGTCTAATCTGTGGCAATATCACTTTAACAATGTACCAACATGTAAATGAGTATTAGGTAAAAATCAAGCAAGATGTGATCACTGTTAGGAAACATTTTTACTCTTTAAGGGAACACTAGAAAGCCAGAAAATCTTTAAGAGACTATGGCACAAACAACACTCCAGCAGAAGGATCAGGCCATCAAGGAGAGAGGCGCCTTTCTCTGAAGGGAGGAAGGAACCTCCACTGTGATATGGCCTTGACTAAACAAATACAGAGTTGGTGAACTCAAGGGGCCTCCATAGCCTAGACAGCTCATAGCAAGAGTCTCGGGTGATTGCTGACGTCATAAATAAGAGTGCCAATTGTTAAATCAACAATGGAGTCACTGGGTTCATGCTCCCCTCGCAGGATCTCTGTCCTTAATATGTTTATCTATGAAACTCAAAAACAACACTACTAGTCGAACAATACCCTATACCTGGTTCGGTTGTGTGAGTGCAACCTGTTGAAATCCCTGCTTAGTATAGACTAAATTGATCTTCGGTATATGAAGGTAACCGAAAATGAAACGTGATGAAGGGGGGAGAGGGGAGAGGAAGTGGGTGAGGGGAGGGCCATGGGAGGGAGGGAGGTCGGGGGGAAGCCACAACAATGCAAAAGATGCATTTTATATTCTACTTAAAACTATTGGTTGAGCTATGTAATTAATACACAATTACTCTTAGGTGTTTAATTAATGCTATAACTAGTACTCAAATAGTATTTTACACTTTATGTTTCTGTGTGGGAGCAAAATGTGGTAATCTTTACTTAACATACGCTAAATTGATCTTCTGTATATAAAGATAATTGAAAATTAATTGTGATGTGAAGGGGAAGGGAAGAGGGAGTGGGAGAGGGGAGCATTGTGGATGGGAGGGAAGACACGGGCGGGGGTGGGGGGGAGGAGGCTATTGTGGTCCATAAGCTGTACTTTGGAAATTTATGCTCATTAAATAAATTAAAAAAAAAAAAAAAAAAGAGACTATGGCACAAAACAGTAATGATACGTTAGAAGATCAGCAGTTGCTATGTAAAGGTACCCCTTACCTCTTAACCCCTTTAAAAGCTTCTCCCATTGCAACAGTAGGGAAGTACCCTAGCAGCTGGCCCTTAACAATAAAGACATAGCATGAACGGAACTGGGGGATGAAGATATTGAGTGGAAGATCCACAAGGGCTGCTATCTTTCTTTGTTTTCTTAATTGCTGTCTTAATTGCCTAGACACTTTGATCTCTTAGTAAATGTTAAATAAACACTGAGAAAAAGTGGCACATGTTTTAGCAGTAGAGGTTTAAGATTAAACGTACAGAAGTAAAAGGGATATACAATACAGTATCGTTAACTAGAGTCCCCACACCATGAAACAAAACACTGGACCTTATTTTTCCTTTCTAATTGCAACCCATTGGTCCACCTCCCCTCCCCCACCCTCCTACTGTCCCCAGCTTCTGCTAACCACCATTCAACTGTCAACTTTCAGGAGATCAACTATTTTTTAGGTGCTACATGTGAGTGATATTATGTAGTAGTAGTCCTTCTGTTCCTGGCTTATTTCACACAACATAATGTCCTTCATTTAATCATTTTAATGGTTGAATGATATTGCATATTTCAAAACAGATAGAAGAAAGGATTTTGAATGTTATCACTGGAAAAAAAGATAAATATTTAAAGTGATAGATACACTGATTACCCTGATTTGACCATAAAGCAGTATATACATGTGTTGAAACATTGCATTGTCTTCCATAAATACACACAATTACCATGTGTCCATCAAAAATAAATTTTTAGAAAGACATGAAAAGAAAAAAGTAATGAATTTGTGTGAGTGCGTGTGAAAGCATAGATAATTGTGTTCTTTCCTTGGATTGTGATTTAGAAATATTGTTAGCCCCAGGGCTCTTTCAATGTGTTTACCAGTCTGCAGTGAAATCAGCCTTCCACAACGCTTACACTGGGAGATGGAGATCAGAGTATTCATTAGTAAGGAATTGAAATAGTCAGCTGCAGTTGAGTTTTATCACAGTGAGGGAAAACAGCCACCTATTTCTACTGAAAGTCAGTTTTAGACCATTTGTTTATCAGAAACACTGCCCACCTACTTCCTGAAGACACAAATGAGCTACTAACTAAACGAATTTGCTAACCAAAGCAGACAATGGGAATCCAGTATTACCTTTTCTGAACACTCTGAAAGAGCTATCTTCCAATGGAAACAGCTTGTGAAGGGCTGCCTTAGCCTTATCTGCCACCTGCTCAATGGAGGACAGTAGCTCTGATGTGCTGCTGGAGCCAATAACTTCATAGCCAACAGCAATGCTTCCTTCTCTGCAGTATTGATGTGGAAAGAAAAGTGGGATTCACTATTTACTCAACCAATCACTCAGGGCCCATTCTGTGTATACATGGTACTGAGTCCATAGGAATCACTGAACAGATTTTGTCTCTGCTTTCATGGAACCTATATTCTAGTTGGGGAAGCAAAGCAAATAGGAAACCAGGAACTAGCAAATACTCAAACATACATTTAAAAATTGTATTAAGTACTATGAGGGACAGAGACAATGATAAGAGAAGCAGATGGAAGTGAGACCACACATCACACAAAGCTGGTCAGGGAAGGCTCCCCGTGTAATGGTTCATTGAAGGTGACGTCTAAAGGAGGACAAGGAGCTGGTCTAATTCAAAGCCAGGAGCCAGGAGTTTCTTCCAGGTCTCCTACATGGGTACTGCTTTTCCAGGCCATAGCAGAGAGCTGGATCAGAAGTGCAGCAGCCAGGACTCAACTCGGTGCCTATATGGGATGCCGGCATCACAGGCAGAGGCTTAACCTGCTACGCCACAGTGCCAGCTCCTGGGGGAAATTTTCTAAAGACATTGTGTTACTTACCGAAATTGGATGACCTGAACTGACTCAAAACCTTGAATTCCTTTGTACACTTCTTTAAGCTTAGAAAGAAAACAAAACACAATGTGTTAATCTTTGTCCCTTCCCTTCAGAAAGACATTTGAGGAAAAGTTAGATGCAGACAATAAACAAACCAACAGGAGCAAATGAGCAAGGCAAAGAAATACAATGGGGACGTAGTTGAATGTCATACAAATACAGTGAAAATAGCAGCTGAGTGCATATGTGTACACACACACAGGCAGGCACACACAAAACACAGGAAATGTATTTTTAAGATGGCAAATAATCAGTGGATAATAGCTACTTAGAATAGGGCATGTGTTCAATGCCAGATAATATAAAAATTGACTCAAAATCTGGTTTCTTATTAAAAAACAAGCCATTGATCTCCATAAGTACCTAAAACAAATCTACCTGCAATGTATTTGCTCATGCTCTATGGTTAGAACCACAGCTGAGCCACTATCCCAGGCTAATCTAGCTTTTATGTGACTTCATAAGGAATTACAGAGCTTTGTCTGGTAACTCTCATCAGCCTCTAACGAGAGGGTCTTCTTCATGGAAGAATCTCAAGTGCTGACGGTCAAGCTCAGGTCATGAAAATTTTATTTTGGCCAATCAAAAAACAGAAAATAACCAAAAACCCTTAGCACAGCATTACTCAAATAAGTGAGCAACACTGAAAACAAGAGAAGTGTAAACAAGTCAGCTGCTAAACTTTCCTAGAAAGAAAATGCTCAAGGAGTGTAATACCACATTGAAAATAAATGAATAATATGCATCAAATATACATGCTGAATTGAAAACATCTGAACTTGTATTTAGCAATCAATTCCTTATAATAAGTTGAAAGTGCTTACTTGAAGTTCAATTCCAGCTGTGTATTTGGAGTACATGGGAGAAGATGAATTCAAAAGGTCTTTTGTAAATCGTTCGTTAATTTTGAAAGTGCCCCAAACCTCTTTGGAGATTAAAAAAAAAAAAAAAAGTTCATGAATACAGTAAATTACTAACTTGATTTTATCAGGAGTACAATTTAGATTTCATCTATTCAACAGTAGTATTTCAGTTTCTTTTCATAATACATGTTTGCAAAAAATAATATAGGAAGCATAAAATCAGAGTTTTCAATGGTGATTTGGAACAGTAATGTGAAAGTGCTGGAAACCAGGACAAATGACAAGTAAGTAAATAGATGAGCATTCACATATCACTAGGCAGTCACTGAACATTGACATGTATCCCAACTAGGCATTCAGTTTAATTATTGTCCCCCCAAAAAATTGTAAAAGCAAACCACTACTTGCTAACCCCAACATGTCTGTTGTTTACTTGTCCATTACTCATCCTTTATAATACTTGTCCTTCTCAGGAGGCTACAGTTCTCTGTATGGAAAAATCCTATCTAACCTTCATTTAGGACCTGATCAAATGTCACCACTCCTGGAAGTCCTCCCCTGGTCCCCAGATGCATCCCCACAGTACTTTGTTCATACTCCCTTATAGCTTCTGTGCCCAAACACCCATCTGTGTGCATGTCTCATCTACACACGATTCCATAACTCTGTGGGAAGCCCCTGTCTGATGCGTCTTTGTATATCTTGAAGATGGATGAGACAAGACCATCTTTCAAAAAGTGGGCTTTCATCCATACTTGTTGAAGAAATTACATTGTTTTCTTTCTTACTGGACCACCTGGCCTCAACTAGCCTGCTAATGTATAAATGCTTCTTTGTGTCTTCCTAGAATTTGTCCCATATCTGATTGTAAGGACAGTTCTTAATAAATATATGTTGCCACAACTTGCATTCCTGAGAAGGAGACGGGTACCATGGATACATGGTTAACCTAGTCTGTTTCAGGCTCCTCCCTCATTCTTGCTCAGCACCACCAAAATCTGGAGTTTTCAGATAACTAGAGTTGTCTTTGGGAAAACTTCTTAAAGTTGTTCAAGTACTGGAGTTCACATGTTTGGCTCACCTCATTGAACAAAAACCTAAGTCAAGAGTAGTTCACTCAGCTTCCACATGCTCCTAAGCTAGACATTTACTTGTGTTTTGCTTTGGTAATTCATTCAGTACACATACTTATTCATAATTTTGAGCATTTCTTTCCTCCCTACATTCACACCTCTAGACTTCCCTTTGCCCAGAATTGATCTTGGCAAAAGAAGTGAAAAAGGGCTAGGGAGAGAAATATTGCTTATTCAAGCAATTTCCCTACTTGGTATTTTACTGAATCTCCCTAAATCTCAACAGAATCATGTAACTACAGAGCTGACCTGGATGTACCTAGAGGTTGAAGTGATAGCCCAATCATCAACTTGTGTTTCTGTTTCTTCTGCCTTTATGAAGGGCCCACTGCATCTAGTTGCACCTAGTAGAGAATATCATCACTGTTCTTGAATTTCTCTGTGAACACTGGCTCTCCTCAGTGAGGCCAACAGCTGGAGTCCCCACTCTGTTGCATGATGGGGTGGGACAGGCCGGCACTGTGGCTCAATAGGCTAATCCTCTACCTTGCGGCACCAGCACCCCGGGTTCGAGTCCCGGTCGGGGCGCCAGATTCTGTCCTGGTTGTCCCTCTTCCAGGCCAGCTCTCTGCTGTGGACCGGGAGTGCAGCGGAGGATGGCCCAAGTGCTTGGGCCCTGCACCAGCATGGGAGACCAGGAGAAGCACCTGGCTCCCGGCTTCAGATCAATGTGGTGCACTGGCCGCAGCGGCCATTGGAGGGTGAACCAACAGTAAAGGAAGACCTTTCTCTCTGTCTCTCACTCTCTCACTATCCACTCTGCCTGTCAAAAAAAAAAAATGATGGGGTGGGACAGACCCTGTGCTTACTTGCTCTTTCGCAGAAATTGACACTCTGGCTGAGGTTGTTGAGATGACATTCACAGCTTGGGAGTGATCCAGCCATGTGAAGACAGCAATACCGGGGGTCAAGGCACGAGGGAGGAAACCATGTGTAGCTATCTTCACAGCCACACCGCAATATTCCATTCAGGCTGCTACAGTCTGCAGAAAAGACAGAACTTGGTCTCATGGATCCTCATTTATGAACTGACTACTGCAAAGTTCAAATCATTGACTCTGACTTAGAATCTGAACCAAGAGTTTCTCACCAAAATCCTGAAGGGTGAGTCCAGGATGGCAACATAAGGAAATGTCTAACTCAATAAATTCTGAGGTTGATATCAGAAACATAGCAGTAAAATGGCTGGTCTTAGCTCTCAAAGAATAATGTGTGCCCTGTGGCTATCTGTTGCAATGAAAGAGAGAAGCAGAGAAGAATATCTGGAATGTAGGCAAATATCTAGAGGATATTTTGGTCACTACCCTCTCAGTAAACCTGTAACCACCCCAATATAGGCCTTACAAGCAAGATGGCAAAGGTAGAGAGATTTAACTGGGTAAGTCAAGATGACAAAGCTTCATCAGCCAATTTTGTATGCACATTTTCTTCTATTGCACCTGAAATTCTCACCAAAAGTCACCCTTTTTGTGGGGAGCAACTCGGACTAGACTAATTTACTGGAATTAAGACTTATTCTATGCATCTGCTCTCCCACAATATGGCACTGGGAGAGGAGTAAACAACTTTTACACAGCTGCCTCCAGTTCGACCAATAACTGCAGGAGCTGATCCTGCTCCTGATTGGAGGAGAGCAGCGTACTCGGCGTGTGGGTAGCAGAGTTGGGATTGGTGGAAGAGGACTATAAAGGAGGAGAGAGACAACATGCACCAGGAACATCTAAAGGGAACATCCGAATAACATCTGAGCAGCCCCCGAGAGAGCCGGCCGGCAGTGTGCCACTCCCCGGCGGAAGTGGGGAATGTGGCAGGGGGAGCCGCCCTTCCACGGAGGTGGAAGGATCGGCAGCCAACCAGGGAAGAACCAGCAGCAAACCCGGGAAGGGCCGAGCAGACAAAAGAACAGCGCAGGGTCTAGTGTCGTTCCTCCGTGAAGAGGGGAAGCGACACCTTTTTAATAATCAAAAAAAATGGAGCAAACCTTGGTGAAAATACGCAAAATAATGTGTAATCAGTGGTGCTCAAACTTTATTATTCATTGGGATGACCTGGAAGATCTCACTCCAGAGATTCTTAGCAAATCTGAGATAAGGAAAAGAATTTGCATTTTCATTCAATTCCCTGATGCCAATGATGCTGGCCTGGGCACAGTACTTTGAGAATACCCGCTTTAGAATAATCATTTAACCTCTCATAATATCACCTTTATGGTTATTAGTGCTGTCAATCAAATATTTATTGATTTCTTCCAAGCACACATTAAAATTGCATGTCCTGGCCCTCTGAGATTGAATAGGGCCATGGGACCAGTTCTGGCCAATAAATCACAAGTAGAATTTTTTGTCATTTCTGAGTTAGACAATTCAATTACTTCAGTGAAGTTCTCCAGGGTTTTATTTCTTCATTGCTCACAATCGGAACATTTCAGATAGGGACTGATGCATCAGCCTGGGTTCCCAACTGACGACCACAGACACAGTTCCTCTGCCAACTTCTCATGGAAGTGGAGCATGAAGAAGAAATGAAACCTTTATTGCTTCAAGCCAAAGAGATTTAAGGATGACCGTTTCTACAGCATAATCCAACCTAAACTGATTGATCTGTTTACACCCTCCAGCAAGAGCTTGCTGGCTTACACGTGGTGGCCTTTGCTCTGATGATCTTCACTGGCCCGTAGAACCATAATGGTGGAGGATTCAAGAGCTCCAGAAAATTCTCCAAGAATTTTTTCTCCTCTGTGTCTCTATAGGTCACCTGAAGCAGCAGTTCATATTCCTGGATGGGTCCTAAAGAGAGACAGGGAGTCAGAAATGTCTCTGGCTGTTGGGGGGTGGGGTGGGATATGGCTGAGGAAAAGACAGCAAAGCCCTCATTAGATTCACGCTAAAGGTCATGGACGAGCACACGCTGCTTGGTGCTGAGTTCTGCTCATCAGGCATTTACCCAAAATGAACATCCTAAGTAAACATAATCAGGCAGTTGCCACATAAACCTAATATACATGTGACCTGTACTTCTGCCAGGCAAGAAACACTGTGTTCTCTGAGTCTCCCCAGCATCACTTTCCTGACATTACATACTTCCTCAATCTCCATGCAGACTCAAGTCCTAGATGTCAAGACCGAAAGGACCGGAGGTGAGAAAATCCTTATCACTCCTTCTCTGGGATCCATGAAGTATCTTCAATATAAAGCCCCCAATCTCACACTTTCCAAAGAGCACTTTCTTCTTTTCTATTAATTAGGCGAGTTTGAGTGCTTATGTAAAATACAAAAGCCACACAGAGTTACACCTTAACTTGAGGCTTAGTGCACCCTCATTTCCAGCTAATCATTTCCAAGGAGCACTTGTCCTTTTTCCCAAGGAGAAGCCATTCATTGTTTTTGATTTGGGGGAGAAGATGAACCTTATGAGTCCTCTCCCATCCAAAATTCCTTTAGATTCATTCATCTGAAACTTGTTATGATATTCTTAGGGCTTTCAGATCCTTTGGGGCTCATCTATGTACAATCCAATCTTTCAGTCCATCTCTTACTCTCAGCACCTTCTTTCCTGCTAGAAACTATGCCCTAGGTCTTGAAAGTCAGGTGGAGCTAAGAGCATTACCATTTAAACTTCCCAAGAAGGTGAGAAATGAAGAATAGAAAAAAAGAGTTACTCCAGCTACATTGTCAAGAGTTAATAGCACTGGGTCTTGAGCAAGATTGACTGGGTTTGAATCCTGGCTCCTGCCCCTAGCTCTGTGCCTTAGTTTTACTATCTGTAAAATAAAAATGACATTTTCTTTAATTCAGAGGGTCGGTGTGAGGTTTGAATTCATCTCATGCACTTTAAATACTATTTGGTACATATTAACAGCCAAATAAATAATTTTTGTATTTTATTGTAATTTGTACTGTTGGGGAAAATGTATTCTTGGCACTCCAACTTGAAATTTTGATTTGAGGGGCCAGCACTGTGGAGTAGAAGGTTAAGCCTCAGCCTGCGGTGCTGGCCAGTTCAAGTCCCAGATGCTCCACTTCCTATTCAGCTCCCTGCTGATGTACCTGGGAAAGCAGCAGAAGATGGCCCAAGTACTTGGGCCCCTGAACCCTTGTGGGAGACCCAAAAGAAGCTCCTGGATCCTGGCTTAGGCCTGGCCCAGCCCTGGCATTATGGCCATTTGGAGAGTGAACCAGCAAATGGAATCTCAATCTCAATCTCTCTCTCTCTCTCTCTCTCTCTCTCTCTCTCTCTGTATCTATGACTTTCAAATAAATAAATAAATCTTAAAAAAAGAGAACTTTTGATTTGACTTTTTCCAAGGAATCATAGCCTCGTATGGTGATGGATTCCATAGTACTATCAGCACATCATTGTATAGCAGATTCATTGCATGAAAGAAAGGCTTCTGTGGACTGACCAGGCACCTAATATCACCAGTGTGCGTCATTGTTTCTGTGAGGAAATGCAGTCAGCACTTGAAACATCAGGTCTAAATTTCAAAACACAACTCATTCCAAGATTAAGAGTTGTGCCCATTAATTAATTACATGATTAGAATCAGGGCAAAGAAGAAAAGGAAATATACGGAGCAGCCATTTGCCAGGTAAGGTGCAAAATGTTATGCCTATATTGTATGATTTATTCTTCATAAATGTCTTGCTTTTAGAAACTGCTATTATTATAATTTTGCAGATTTTGGGTGTTTTCTAATGTAACAAATATCTATCAGGCACTGCTGGGATTGGAACTCTCCTGGCACAGAAATTCACTGCACCGCACTATCTAGTGATGTCTCACCTGAATTCTTTTTCTTATCCACACTGAATTCTCTTTTTGTTTTCATGTTATCATTTCTCTGTTAAAAAGAAAAAGTTAGTTATGATGAGGCTTTGGAGAGTTGTACTTCAAAGGCCTTCCATCTTGGTTTTCCCAGGGAAAATGAAATCCTGAATCTGAAAGCAAAGCCAGGTATGGCAGGGAGGAAGCCAGGAAAGTCCTCATTGAGGCAACTTTTAAGCAAAGACCTGAAGGTGGGAGAATTAAGGATCCCTGGAGGAAAAGCTTTCAAGGCAGAGGGAACAGTATGTGCAAAGGCCCATGAATAAGAAAATATGTGGTATGTGAAGGCAGAGGGAGGACACTGGAGTAGCTGAGGAGCAGGGAGAAGGAAGGAGTGAGAGCAGAGAATCTTGGGGGAGACAGGTCATGTGGATCTCTATGGGCCCTTGAAAGGGTTTTACCTTTGACTTGAAACCACTGAAAGATTCTAAAACACATGTTCTAGTTGACTTTCTGGAAGCTCGATCATGAAGGCATGTAGAGAACAAACGGAAGTAATGACAGCATGTCAGGGATTATTGAAATAAAGCAGATGAGAGATGTCCAAGGACTAGCTCTAGGTGACAGCCATGGACACAGTAAGAAGTGTTGGAATTCTGTATGTATTTTAAAGTAAAGTCGAAAAGTGATGCCAATGGCTTAGACTTCAAATGTGAGAAGAGTTAAGCATGATACCAAGTTTTTCTGCCAAGCAGCTAGACAAATGGTGAGACCACTTTCTAAGATAGGAAATGATGAGTAAACCTGATGAGAAAAATCAAGAGTTTGACTTTGGACATATGAAGTTGAGGGGACTATTGAGTGTCCAACTGGAAGTAACAATATGAAGTAAAAAGGCCAGCGTAAAAGTTCAGGGTTGAGGTTTGAGATGGATACTGTGGAGTCATCAGCACAAAGAGAACTTTAAAACAAGGCCCTGGAGCAAAATATCAAGAAAGTGAGTGTTAACAGGAAATGGTGTCCAAGGATTGGTAATAATCCATGTGCTTTTCCTGCACCAAAGAGGCCATAGTAGAGAATGTGTTGAGCTAGAAAAGATAACCAAGATGGTGTAATTGAATATCTTCATTTTGTGGTTCAGTCACATAGGCTCAAAGAAATTAAATTACTCATCCAAGGCCACTGCTGTGGCTTAAATATTTGTTCCCCTAACTTGTGAATTTAGTTCCCAAAGTCTAAACCTAATCTAAGTTAATGGTACCAAGAGAATGGAAGCAATAAAATTAAGGTGTATGGAGGTGAGGCCTTTGGAAAGTGATTAGATCGGATAAGGGCATTAGGAAGGGGCCCCCCAACTGAATCCTGGAGGCTTTGTGAGAGACCACATGGACAGACACACACACACTTCCTGCATCTTGCTGTGGGATGCTCTGAGCCACCTCTAGATTCCGCCAGTGATAACCCCAGCAGCAGAGGCCAAACCAATGGGGTCCACTCTATCTTGCAATATGCACCTCCATTACTGTAAGCCAAAATATATTTCCTTTTTTTAAATAAATTTAGTTGCTCAGCCACTTTGTTCTAGCAATCAAAAGCTGATGAAAACAACTTCATGGTGAATACTGGTAATGTTGAGACAAGAACCCAGGAACTCTGACCCCCAGTCCATGATAGTCTGTAGTTTCAGTTGTCTAAAAAGCGATGGTTTCCAAATCATCAGAAGGAGACAGGAGAGATGGTTGAAAAGAAAAAGGGACATAGGCCAACTCACCGCTGGGAAGCCCTCGTGGCCCTCAGTGACAGTGAAGAAAAAGACGAGCCACAGCACTCCAAGTCTCATTGTCAGCAGGCCCTCTGCTCTCCACTGGCTGGTGCATGGACAGCCAGGTGCTCAGTCTGTGACTAGACAAGCAATGTACCATGTAAGGCTGAGGCCCAAATAGGAGTGATTCCAGCCAAAATGTGAAAGTGCATGCTGTGGTAGGGCTCCACTGAGCTCGTTAGCATCCCTGAGTGCTTGATTACTTTTCCACTTCACAGAGGCTGTGGCACCATTACTTCTGTTCCCACTGCAGAAGTAGTAAATTTCCATCCTGACAAACTTACAAGAAAATTGTGCTGGAACAGAGCTCTTTGAAAACCATGGTTTTATATTCCACTGAAGTTTCCTTTTCATCTCCAGAAAGGTAAGTACTAAAATAACCAAGTACCCTTAGAACCATTATCACAAGGATAGAATTAAAGTGTTTAAACAAAAATGCTAAGGATAGTAAGGAAACTATCCAACAGATTCCTTCTTTATAGTTGACCCAATTTGCAATAAACTGTCCTCAAGTCTATTGGTTATCTTAAATAATTTGGACGAAACTCAACACATTGTCATGGTCATAAAATTGATCATTTATAACAAGGTTATTTGGTATCAAAGCAAAATCATAATAGATTAGAACTTTTCTGTCCAGAGGTTGGCATTTGTTTCTGTGGATAAAATGCCACTTGGAATGCCTAAATCCTGTATCATAATGCCTGGGTTCAAGTCCCAGCTCCACCTGAGATTCCAGCTTCCTTTTAACACATATCTTTGAAGGCAGCAGGTGATGGCTCAAGTACTTGAGTTCTGTTACGCATGTATGATACCTGCACTGAGTTCTGGGCTCCAGGCGTTAGCTTGGCCCAGCCTCTGCTCTTGCCAGCATTTGCAGAGTAAACCAGTGGATAAAATCAATTTCTCTCTCTCTCTCTCTCTCTCTCTCTCTCTCTCTCTCTCCCTCTCTCACACACACACACCCCACCACCACCTTGTAAATAAATAAAAAATAACTAAATAAATAATTTAAAAGAGATACCTGTTTTGTCTTACATGAGGGATTTAGGAAGTTCATGGAAAATGAAAGTAAATGATGTTTATTTTAGTGCAGAAAAAAAAGTTGAAATCCATACTTGATTCTTTCATGACACACATTATCCATGAACTTTTTGAAGACCTCCTCATACAATACCCATGTGTGGCTCTCCAGATCTTAATTGTGGTTAAAATAAACTAAATTTTCCAAGTCAGTTCCTCAGTCATGCTAGTCACATTTCAGCTGCTCAGTAGTCACATGTTACTGGTGGCCACGATGTTGGGTAGTTTGATACAGAACACTTTAGAGCATTGCTAAAAGCTTAGTTGGACAGCATCAAGGGAGCTTGAAGGAACACTTTCCTGTGGCCTCTCAATGTTTCTTCCACATCTTCACAGTAAAAGATAAAAAGTTATGATTCCCAAACTCAATAATCTACTCTTGGACCAAGTGTCCTTGACAAGAGTAGTACAGAGAACACAGCTTTTGTTTTGTTCTTGTTTTTGTTTTTTTCCAGTTTTTACCTTGCTGCCTGGGTGTGCTCCAAGCTTCAGGCAAACCGCATCATCTCCACCAGCACTGCCCCCTGATCTAAAGAGAAAAGAGAAAGCATTAGCGTGGGTGATCCTGTGCCTGACTGGCAGATGGCCTGCCTAGCCCATGCAGGAGGTTAACAGGGCATTGCACACCATGCCTCCCAGGACCCTGGTCGGGACTCAAGCACACTGAGAGCCACACATGACCTGACTACTGGCAGGTGGCAGGAGCCCCAAGCACTTTTCCCCAAACTCCACTTTCATTGAAGGGCCTTGTAATTGTCAACCAGGTAAACAGCTCCCGGGTATGGCCCAGACACATAAGGACCACCTGGAAGGCTACGTAGGCTACCTGACCCTCAAGCTGATTGGAGCATAGAAGTGCCAGTATCAGCTTTATCCTATAGAATTAGTGTTGCCCTGAACTAGTTACTCCCTCTTTGCCTGCCCTTTAAAAGTCTGTACCTGATTGTCAATAAATGGACATGTTCACTGAAACGTGTCTCTGGTGCTTCTTGTCGAAGAATGCTGTAGCCCCATGATGCCGACAATGTGGGCTTCACCGGACAAGCCCACACATCAGATGCAGGGTAAGAACTATCATACATAAAGCCTATTTTTTCAGCTGTGATCTTTCCTAGGGGGTTCTAAAAATGCATGGAAAATAGGCTATATGAAATATGTTACTTTGTATCTGCTTTTTCTTTAAAGGTTCTTGGTGACCCCAGAAACCTTTTCTTCAATGCATTTTTTCTTTTTTTTTTTTAAGATTTATTTTATTTATTTGAAAGAGTTACAGAGAGAGGTAGAGACAGAGAGAGGTCTTCCATCTTCTGTTTCACTCCCCAGATGGCTGCAATGGCTGGAGCTGCGCCGATCCAAAGCCAGGAGCCAGGAGCTTCTTCCAGGTCTGCCACGGGGATGCAGGGATCCAAGGACGTAGGCCATCTTCTACTGCTTTCTCAGGCCATAGCAGAGAGCTGGATCCGAAGAGAAGCAGCCTGGACTAGAACCGGCGCCCATTTGGGATGCCGGCGCTTCAGGCCAGGGCCACATCGCCCACCCCAATGCATCTTTTCTTATCACCATGCAGAAACCAGGCACTGAGGTCTTTTACCTGGCTTCCTTGACTCTTATGAGGGTGACACGATATTTGAATGGGTGTTGAAGTTGGTGTCTCTGTGGAAGATTGCTTGAGGGTCTTAGCCATTATCTTGCTTTATCTCTTTCTAGAGTTGTGTTAGAATTTGACTTAAGGGGCTGGTGCTGTGGTGAAGTAGTTTAAGTCTCCACCTGCAGTGCCAGCATCCCATATGGGTACCAGCTCATATCCAGGCTGCTCCTCTTCTGATCTAGCTCCCTGCTAACAGCCTGGAAAAGCAGTGGAAGACAGCCCAAGTCCTTGGGTCCCTGCACCTTCATGGGAGACCTGGAAGAAGCTCCTGGCTCCTGGCTTTGGATTGGCCCAGCTCTGGCTGTTGCGGCCATTTGGGGAGTGAACCAGCCTTTCTCTTTGTCTCTGTCTCTGTCTCTGTCTCTCTCTCTCTCTCTGTCTGTAACTCTACCTCTCAACTCAATAAATAAAATCTTTAAAAAATGAATTTGACTTCTGATTCATATTAGCTTATCACAAAAATATGTTCCTGGGTTAATGACCACTGATGTGCAAATGGATGAATCCCAGCCTCAAGGTGATAAAAGTACATTTTTACAGAAATTGAATTATCTGCCTCCAAGGCATTTCCCTGGCCAGAGGATGTCAGGAAATACTTTGTGTGTGCGTGTAGTGTGTGCGTGCACAGAGCAATCATAAATTCCACGTCACTTTGCATTTAGTAGATATAAAGCCCATAGCATTTTCGTCACTTCTCTTCTATGACGGAAGGGTCCTGATAATTCAAACATTCTCAGAATCCTTGTGTCCTTCCCACAGATGAGCAACTGCTGCTGTCATTAGAGTTTGGCCTGTTTATATCACACCTCCTTCTGTGACAGCTGGAGACCAGTGATGCCTGACCTACAGCTGTGTCGGCGTGAGCTTCTGTGGGAAGGCTTGGCTATGGTGGGAGTCCCCCCACACACTTCCTTGAATTCATTTAAGTGAATTCATTCCTGATAATCCCTGTCCTTCAGTTTACAGTGAACAATCATAGAATTTGCTGTATGCCTCTGGAGACAGCTCTCCGTTATCTCCCTATTCTTTAAGTTATGTATTTATGGAATTCAAGTATCATTTATTATGTCAACAGCTGTCTCCTTATCAACAGTGGTGCTTAGTTGGAACTGCTCACACCTATACTTCCCAGCATTTTTAGCTACAACCTAATCTTAGGCACAGTTGAACTCTGGGTTGCTTTTCTGGGTTCAGTATTTATGGGCTTATGTTTCTTCCTCTATAAATAGAATTCCCAAGAGAGCCGTCTCTCTTCTCTCTGTCTTGGGTTCACATGCCCACATGTGCACAGATATACCACACACACACATGCACACATGCATCAATGGAAAGAGCAGGTCTCCACAAAGGAGCTGTAACATATCATGACAAATAGAATTAGGTAAAGGAATATAAAACTTTGGTTCTATTTAATTCTCATTTTTTTTTTGAAACATTTTTCATGGAGATCTTCCTTTTGAGCCACTTGCCTTGGAAAAAAGATGTGTGATTTGTATGTATGTGTTACTTTAGACACACAGATACAGAAGACAGTGGGACAAATATGTGGAAATACAGAAAAGATAACCTATTACACAACTAGAAAAATGTTACAAGGTTTTGTTGATTTTAGGAGCCAGGAAAACTTCTTCTGGAAGAACACGGATTATTCAGAATCTCAGTGGACATCTATACATGTGAGCACAATAGTGTTAAATGTGTATCTTATAATTTAGCATGTTTCCCCATATTTATCATAATAGTGAGAAGGGATATGGATGAATTAGGTTTGTTCTCAGGTTTATCCCCTATCTTTGAGGACTTGTGCAAGATTAAAAACCTTGAACTTGGTTTCCTCATTTATAAAGTAAGAGATAAAATAAGGGGAGCTCAGTTCCATTCACATTCAGAGTCTACTATATGTCTATTTCCCACTTTGTAGACTGATAATTTAATTGTTCTTTCGTTAATGTCACCCAGTTACCAAATTTAAGCCTGGAAATAATGAAAACTTTTACTGATCTTTATTTTGTTTTCTCCTCAAACTGATCATTACATTGCTAAATATCTCTTGAGAAGGCCCAAGAACTATAGAAAATTCAGCCCTGAAATTCAGAATACAAGAAAGACTTTATTTCTTTTTATTTAATTGTTATACAAATTCCATGTATGTCATGTGTTCAGATTTAGGAACAGAGAGATGACTTTTAAGAATCCTAGTTTATGTCTGGAAGATACAAAAATGATTATTCAATTAGTTACCCTCCCTGGGACACTTGAGCAGTCACTAAACTTTTACTTGTTCCACCACTATTTTTATTGAGGGCTTCCAGATCTGCAGACCTTCTCACACTGTTCACTGACCTGTGAAAGTACTTCAGAAAGTTCGTGGAAAATGGAATTCAGACAAGTTCATTTTGATACATAAAAAATTTGAAATCCAGGCAAAATTTTTTCATAATGCATATTTTCCAGAAACTTTTTGAAGACCCTTTGTATACATATATTTCAGTTTTTTTGCATCAAAATAAATATTTTTTAATTCCACTTCACAAACTTTCTGGAGCACCCTCCTAGTCTTGCAGGGACATCATGATTGTAGCTCCACAGATTATGAGAAACTCACAAAGCTGTGAGCTCCAGACCCAATTTGCAAACAACTGCTGGGTTATTGAGTCAATTTGTTCAAGAATCCCAACTTAATCTTTCCCATGTTTCATTGAATGCCTTTGCTCAATGCCTTTTCATTGGATGCCTTTTCAGAGTATAATTTGTGACCCAGCTTTTATTCTGAACCTTTTTTATCACAAATTAAGACACACTTTGAATGAGTCTTGGTTCCTTAGCATTCATTATAACCTCAGCTTAAGAGCATTTCTCTTGTTTTGGTTTTTCAGCATTGCTCAACCTTCCACTCCTTCGTTAACAAGGATTCTGTTTTTCTGTCTACGTAGTCTGTGCTTTGTATCACAGAAAAGTTCATTCATCATGATTTGGTGTTCTTAGCTCATCACTCAATACATCTTCTGGCATCCTGGTAGAGTTTGTTTCTTGCAGAAGATGAACCCAGCCCGATTTGATTGTCAAAGGCCTAACTGCAAGCCTCACTGTTTGGCTCTCTGCAGTGCCCGTGCGACTGAGGTTTTCTCTGGTCACCAGGAGTTCCGTGCAACAGGACTTACCAGGAAGCCCTTGAAGGATGATTAAGAACATTCCAGAAAGAGTGCCGAATTCTCCCTTCCAGCCAAGCCTTCAGCTTAGCAATGAGGACCGAGCCCTTCCGGAATCCCTGGCTCAAGCCTACTTCTCATCTCCACACCTGGCATTGATTAATTACAGTAGGTAAAAAGCAGAGTTGAGCTTCCTCTTGAATTGTTTGCTTTAGAAAAATATCTGAACAGCCTTCCAAAGAGGTGACAGTTATCTAACAAGAAGAAATGACAAGAGTTCTTTTACAACTTTTCTAAATGCTTTCATATGTATTGATTTGGTTATTTGGGCAAACTTATAAATTGATAATTACTTCGGTTTCACACTTGCAGAAAAAGAAAAGGGTAGACCTAAATTCTAAGGAAAAAGAATATATCAACTATTTCCCTAAATTTCTCTTCAAACAGAATCTAATATGTGCTGCGGACTGTGAGCCAGTTAGAATTCATAGCCTTTGACTTGATTTAAGTGAAGTCACAATTGCTGATTTGATCCCCATCAGAATTCCTTACCAATTGGCTTGCTCTTTTCAGAAGGAAGAATATATGTTTCTAATCAATCTTCCTAACAAATGTGAGCATTAGTATCTAATGAGACTGACAGCCAAAGGATGAAACACACATCACCAGGCCTGCTGTAAAGAATCTACAAAACGGACTCTGTGGGGTCTTTATTTGTGAATAGGAAAATTAAAGATGTTACAAACTCTTACTGGGTGATCTATTTTTAAATAAGGATAAAATAAATATATTATTTCTCATGCAATCCTGAGACAGAAACTTTCAGATCTACTGGAAAACATTGTTTATATGGCCATAGCATGTTAATAGCACATTTTTTATAAATTCCAAAGAGCAGAAAGCAAATTTTTCAATCATATTTCCCAAATGATTCTTCTAGAACCTGGGATTCCACCTATCCTAAAACACCATGCCAATGCATTCTCAAAAAATTCAAGGCTGCACACTGAGGACAGAATGAAGAACAAACTCATTCTCAAAGCTTTTTGGACTTCCCACACTTTACTCTCAAATATTTTTTCTGCTAAGTTTCCAGACAAACCAGGATTTTCTAGGTTAAAAGTAAAATGTTGCTTCAAAAGATTGATATATTTTTTGAGTTTTAGTAGACATGACCAAAGTGCCCTGCCTCTTTGTAGCCATTTACTCTCCCTGATAAAGGGTAGAATTGTCTGTTTGATCAGACTCCGACACCCTCTTCATGTTGCCCAACTTATAGGCAAAAGTTTTATCTTATTGTAATGTTCATGTCCTTGATTATTAGTAAGGCTAGTTCACATTCTTCAAATCTTTATTGACTATATGTTTTTGAGTTTGACTTGTTTAAATCATTGTTCTAAGTATTTCTATTGGAATATTCATCTGCTTCTTAAGAATTAATCCTTAGGAGACCTTTATATGCAATGGTTATTAGCTCCTTGTCATTTGTGCCATAAATATTTGCTCATGTCTTTCATCTTTTAACTTTTTTTTAACTTTTATTTAATAAATATAAATTTCCAAAGTACAGCATTTGGATTACAGTTGCTCCCCCCCCCATAACTTCCCTCCCACCCACAACCTTCCCATCTCCCGCTCCCTCTCCCATTCCATTCACATCAAGATTCATTTTCAAACCTTGTTTGTTGTTTTCCTCTGCACAAAAGATTTGAATGTTCAGGAAATATCATCTGTCAATCTTTTCCATAACATTTTAAATGAGATTTTGCTAAGGATTTTTTTTTCTACATAAACATTGTAAAATTTTTTTTCTATGTTTTTTCCTAATACGTTTTTAGTTTTAAAAATAATTTTAGGCCAGCGCTGTGGCTCAATAGGCTAATCCTCCACCTGCAGCACTGGTACCCAGGGTTCTAGTCCCGGTCAGGGCACCAGATTCTGTCTTGTTTCCCCTCTTCCAGGCCAGCTCTCTGCTGTGGCCCCGGAGCGCAGTGGAGGATGGCCTGGGTCCTTGGGTCCTGCACCCGCATGGGAGACCAGGAGAAGCACCTGGCTCCTGGCTTTGGATTGGCTTGGTGCACCAGCCGCTGTGCACTGGCTGCAGTGGCCATTGGAGGGTGAACCAACGGTAAAAGGAAGACCTTTCCCTCTGTCTCTCTCTCTCACTGTCCACTCTGCCTGTCAACAAAAAAATCTTTAATATATTTAAATCTTCAGTCCTTCAGGAGTTAGCTTTTGGTGAAAAAAAGATTTACTTTCATTTCCTCAAAGTGAATAGACAGTTGGGCCAACCGTATTTGTTGACTAAACCGTTCCTTATCAAGACCACCTTGGCAATTGTTCATCAGTTTTAAAGACCACCCTTTCATATACTAAAATTCTGATAATTTATTTAAAAACTCTGTTGCTATTTGTGCCTTTCTTTTACTAATTATTTACTTTATTCATGTCTTATTCAACAACATAGAAGGGGGTTATATGCCTAAGAAACTTATGGCATTAAGTGTCATATTAGAAATATTTAGCCTGATTCTCTAAGGGACTGAGTATAGGTACACCCTCAGGTAGGCTAAAGTACAAACACAAGGGTGAAAGAGTTTCATGGGAATTATAATTTATTTAACACACACTCGCCTTGCCCCAAAAAGAGCTGTCCTAACATTACAAATGTATAATAAATGTCTGCTTATGCCTAAACGATAAAGCAACTCCTCTGGTCAGCCTTCTAGACTTTTATTTTATGGTAAATAAGTCAATGATAAATTTTCTTAAAGTCTTTATTGAACGTCTTCATCTTTTATTTTTATCTAAAACAAACAAAACTCTAGAGTTTCCAAGATTGAGAGTCTTCAGAGACTAAAAGCTGACATTTGCACTGAAGAGCCAGAGACACCATGAAGAATTCATAATTCTCAACCACAAGACTTAACTTACCCTGCAGCTGTTCACCTCTTTGCTTTCTATGTATTTAACGAGCTGCACAAAAAGAATTAGTGGTATCTGTAACTCTATGAAATGTTGATATGTTTTCTATCTCTAATTTTTTAAAGATTTATTTATTTATTCAAAAGTCAGAGTTACACAGAGAGAAAAGAGGCAGAGAGAGAGAGAGAGGTCCTCCATCCGCTGGTTCACTCCCCAACTGGCTGCAATGGCCTGAACTGTGCCTATCCGAAGCCAGGAGCCAGGCGCCTCCTCCAGGTCGCCCACGTGGATGCAGGGAGCCAAGGACATGGGCCATCCTCTACTGCTTTCCCAGGGCATAGCAGAGAGCTGGATCAGAAGTGGAGCAGCTGGGTCTCGAACCAGCACCCATATGAGATGCCAGCGCTAGGGTTTTAACTCACTGCTCCACAGCGCTGGGCCCCCTACCTCTAATATTAATTCCTATGGATTTTCATTCTCAACATGCCAGAGCCTTGATTTCCATCATCCATTGAATAGGAAATTCTATGAGGTTATAGGTAGCTTACTGGAGAGGGAGTATGGTAAGAGATCTCATCTCCCTACTGGATTTTTTTTTTCTTTTGACAGGCAGAGTTAGACAAGGAGAGAGAGAAAGAGACAGAGAGAAAGGTCTTCCTTCCTTTCACCCCCTAAATGGCCACCACGGCCGACACGCTGCGCAGATCCTAAGCCAGGAGCCAAGTCCTTTCTCCTGATCTCCCAGGCAGGTGCAGGGCCCAAGCACTTGGGCCTTCTCCACTGTCTTCCTGGGCCACAGCAGAGAGCTGGACTGGAAGAGGAGCAACTGGGACAGAATCCAATGCCCGAACCGGGACTAGAACCTGGGGTGCCGGTGCCACAGGCGGAGGATTAGCCTAGTGAGCTGCAGCACTGGCCCCCTACTGGTTTTGTGCTGTATAGCTGAGGAATTGAACAAGGCTAGGACAGAGTATATTTCAGATTATAATGCTACAGACCTTTTACACTATCTCTACAGGTTCCTAACTTATTTTACAACTCTTAAAACCATATATCTATCCATCCAGTACTGTAGAAACCTTGACATCATGTGAGCACTTGATATGCTAAGACAAAGACTGCATAGGCAAAATTCTAAGTGTCTCCACTCCTATGTAACTATGACTATTCCTTATCAAACAGCGTTAAAAGGAGAACCAGTGGCAGGCATTTGGCCTAGAGGTTTTATATCAGAATACTTGGGTTCAATGCCCAGTCTGGCTCCTGACTCTAGCTTCCTGCTAATGGAGACCCTGGGTGGCAGCAGTGATGACTAATGTAATTGGGTTCTTGCCATCCATGTGGGAGACTAGATTGAGTTTCCAGCTCTCAGTTTCAGCCCCTAAACACCAGGGACTGTTGTGAGCATTTAGAGAGTAATCCGGGGTGTCACTCCACCCCCACCCCCGTCCTGCTTCTCTGTTAAATAAATAAATAAATAAATGCTTTAAAAAGAACAAGAACTGGACAGAATCGTTTGAAAGTTTCAAATACATAGGTTTATACTGGGTGGTCTACGTGGCACATGGTTTCCTAAGGCTGACCTTAAGCAAAACAGTGTTTACAGTGACATTTGTCATGGGGTGCCCCTTCTCTTTTCACTTCTGTGATTCTCCCATCACCGCTATCCCTTAGATCCCCACTACCCTCCTGTCTCTTCAAGTTTTCACTTGCTCCCAACCAAAGCACTAAAATAATTCACTTATACCCTAGTTTGAATGAACGTGCTTGTTTATTTTTTCCTGAGAGGAAATTAGAATTTTGTTCATTTAGGATGAAAGACACCAGAGGGCATATTTAAGTGAAAATACAGTGCTCAGGGCAGGCATTCTCGGTAGCAGTTAAGATGCTGCTTGGGTCACCTACATTCATATCAGAGTGCCTGCCCAGTTCCACTTGAAATCCCAGTCTCCTGCACCCTAGAATGCAGCAGGTGATGGCTCAAGTAGTTAGCTACCTGCAACCCATGTAGGAGACCTAGACTGAGTTCCTGGCTACTAGCTTTGGAATGCTCGGTCCCAGCTGTTATGGAAATTTAGAAAGTGAAACCAGTAAATGGCAGATCTCTGACTCTTTGTCTTTCAAATAAATGAACCAGAATGTTAAAATAAGCAAATAAAGAGTCCCAAGGGTTAAGCCTTTAAAAAGAAATGAAAGTATGATGTTACCCTTGTGGTCAACCCTTTAAGACATAGGTCCTCTAATGAGCACTCTGTTTTTAAGTAATTTACTGCCTTTGTGGAGACACAAGACATAGGAGACATTCAGCAACAATTCACATTAGTTTGTGACTATATTTGAAATGAGAATGGTTTGCAAGTCAAACTTGTAAGACTCAACATACACACATTGCGATTTTCAGTGCTCATGTTTATTGCTACCATTTTACAAATGAAGTAATCAGAACAAGAAAAGTCAAATAATTTGCTCAGGATTTAATACTTATCAGTGATATTGGTAAGTGGTTTATGTGGTCATCATTACAACATTGTTTTTTATGTGGAAAAGAGCATAATAAAAAGCTTGTGCTAATAGTCTGACAAAACACAGAATATATTCCTTTTTGTTGCTTTGTCCTCTGTCATCTGCAGCCTCTATGTGTAACTATCAAGTTAGCTTAATGGGTATCACTATGAAAAAGACAAGGTCACCACTTCTCCACACCTCTCCCAAACAACCTTCTTTCCTTGCCTCTTTCAGTATTTTTTATCATTTAATCTCCAGCGTTGGTGGATTACACAGGGTATCAAGTTTATATGAAAGAATTTTTCATAAAAAAGAAGAAATTCATGACTTTCCGAGGCCTGTTGGTCATAAAATACAGGGTATCATTTCAATTTTAGTTGTGGAAAGAGTAAGGGAATGGTTATGAGACTTAATCTGGTGACTGTTTGGAGTTCAAGGAGAGGGGTAAGCTGAGCATACTGGTTCAGATAAAGATTAAACCAATTTATCTTAAAATGAAAACAAGGTTAATCCTCTTAAACACCATTTTATTTTAAGAGATTGATTTGGTTAACATGTTACTAATTAATGGAAATCATGTGATTGACATTTTTAACAAGCATCCTTGTTGGAGCCAGTCAATATTTCTCTCAGGCACAGTGGAAGAATAAGGGTTGCTGTGTTACCATCAGGAGACAGAGGAGTGTGATTCAACTCAGAGAACCTGGAGTTCAGGACTCAGCACACCACTTCAAGTTAATCAGATAGCTAGGAACTGAACTCTTTTATTTTCCCTCATTCTTTTTTCCATATCTGTCCTTTTTTTTAAAGCCTTCTTCAGGAAATAAGATATTAAGGCCCAAATTTTTTCCTGCCTGGAGAAAAAGCCATCTCAAATTAACAGCTGTTCCAAAGAATCAGACTGCAGCCATCAGGGCTTACCTGGTGATGGCTCTGTGACACCACAGCCCGAGGGAGCCTTTCTTCCAAGAAACTTGTGGCTCAACCACTTCTGCTGTTCAGAGAGACAACACTGGTTCTAGACCGGGACCTCCGCAACTCCCAGGCACCAACACAGGTCCGCTGATTCATCAGCAACTTCTGGCCCACATTAACTGCCCTTGCAGGCACACAAGCACAGGACACACCCCCTTCAAGAAGGAAGAGAGAAATACTTTTCTGCTAACTCTCCCTCCCACTTTAGAGGCCATACCAGGTCTGGTAAGAGGAAGGAGTTCACAGACCAAAAGGTGTGGATTCTCCCAGCAGACAGGTGCCTCAATTCACAGAAAAAAGTAGGAAGAAAATGCTTTAGGTAAACAGGGAACACCTCTGCCCTAGATTAGTTTGCCACAATGTGCCGTTCTATGGAGCTCTCCTTTCCAGCCTCTGGACATTCTGGGTCACACACCGTAAAGCTTAAGGAATGTAACCTTTCATGTGAAATTCCTTTGAGGGGAGGTGGGTAATTGCACTGGGGTGGGGTGCAGATAAATTTTATTTTTTTCTTTTTTAACTTTACCACTCAGGCTGATGAGTCAACTTTCTACTTCTGTGTGTGATGGTATGGAATGGATGTTGGCCAGAGAGGGCCGCAGGGTATAGGCTGAGGGCGAATGTTTTCAGCTGTTCTTTGTCTCTAAAAAAATCTCAAGTGAAACCTGATGAACGTCTTTAATAAAGATTGATTTCCTTCCTCAGAGGCCATCCAATTTGAAAACTAAGAAGGCTCAAATCTCTTATGTGTTACCTCTTTAAGTGTTGGTCAAAGAAACTACAGATGCTGACAGCCATGTGTATTCTGCAATGCAAAAATGAGGGGGCGATGATTTGCTCACTCTCGAAAATGCCCCCAAAAGGAAAGGAAAAGCTATCTCTGAATTCAATTAATTTCTTAATTTTCCTTGGCTTCCTTGGAGTACTCCATATTCTGCAAATGACTACAGTAGCTTAGAATGCAAACACATGAAACAAAATGGTATTAGACTAGAAATAAGTAAACATGAACTATGAAAGCTCTATATAAACTCTATGAACTACAGAAAGGGAAATTATAAAACTAGAGAATCAATTTTAAAAACTAACACAAATAACAACCTGTGACATTATCATGTTTTATAAATTTGAAACTTGAGGCCGGCACTGTGGCACAGCAGGTTAAAGCCCTGGCCTAAAGCACTGACATTCCATATGGGCGCTGGTTCTGGTCCCGGCTGCTCCTCTTGGGATCCAGCTCTCTGCTATGGCCTGGGATAGCACTAAAAGATTGCCCAAGTCCTTGGGCCCCTGCACCCACATGGGAGATCCGGAGTAATCTCCTGGCTCCTGGCTTCAGATCAGTGCAGCTTAGCTGTTGCGGCCAACTGGGGAATGAACCAGCAGATGGAAGACCTCTCTCTCTGTCTCTACCTCTCTCTGTAATTCTTTCAAATAAATAAAATAAATCTTAAAAAACAAATAAATAAATTTGGAACTTAACACAATGGAAAAAGACTTCCTGGAAGTTAAAAAAAGGGAGGAGGGGGGTAGTTGGTCAGGCACGTTATTCTCATTAGCAGACAAGAGGAAGCATCATCTTCCCAGGGTATTGGAAATGGTCTTTGGGGCAGTACGTTCTAACAGAAATGCCTTTTTTAGAATTAACAATATTTCCGATGACATTTGGGCCACTAATTTCATTTTGAAGACTTTAACCACCATGCAAGCATAAACCCACTCATGACTCTTGTTTCCCATACCAGGTGAATCACTTGATCCATACCATAGCTATTCATCATCAAGTCCACATCTAGCCCCAGAAAAAACATTGTCAAGAGAAAGGGGCCGACCTGAGAACCTTTCATTGTTCCTTTGTCCCCTACCATTCAGTGTGAAATATAGCTGATCTCATAATTTAGTCAAGTTAATTCCACTTTCCTCATGTGCTTCTTCTGCAGGGCCTTGCCTTTTTCAGAATACTGTAGGTGGAGACCAAATTTCCATTCAACAGAGGTGAAGGACTTCTAGAAGTACATACTCTCATCCAGCTCCTCCAATCCAGTGAGACCAGTGACCCCATCTTTTCAGTTCAGCATTGCCCTTTTCCTATTGTTTGTGTTAAGATGCAGCTGCTTGTAGGAGTAAAAAAAATCACAGACATCTTAGTAGGAAAGGGTTTATATGTGGGTCTAGTAATCTAGAGATTATTTGGGCAGGAAAGTGACTATAAAATTGGGTAGGTGCAGTAAAGGAAGCCATGGAAGGACAAATAGAATGACCAGGTGGTGTGGAGCAGAAGGTGACAAAGGCTGAGGCTCAGATGCAAGTTCTTTTTCTTACCTTCAGCCCATGGTGTCACTAAGCCCAGTAATTCCCTAGGGACCAGCACATGGCCCTCAGAACCAAAGAAAATCCTACAGTTTCTTGTTAGACCAAAGATGTTTTAGCAAATACAATAAAATTGGACAAGTAGTAAACATCAGTGATTTCATGTGTGCATTGGTTTTGAAGAAAATCAGAATCCAAAAAATGAATACATTTATAGTTTTTTTAATTCCATATTTGATAGGAGATTATATTATGTCCAACATTGAGGTTATTTCAAAAATTGGGTGTGTTTCTGAAACCTGTGACTCACCAATAAGCCATTCACTCACAGCTTTTAGTTTCCTTCTCTGAATCTGCTATCACATCTGTGGTGAACACTTCTGGTTGGGTTGTGGGGCTCCTGGTCCCTGCGAAGGACAAAACAAAAGGAAGCATATGGGTTTGGGCGTTTGCAACTGCATTGGGATATCATTATATTATGAACCTAGCACAAAGCTAACTGTCCTTGAGGGCAGAAATGAATTAAGATTTGCCCCTCTAGATTGATTGTTATTCACCATCTACTGCAAAATATCACAGGGTAGCCTATAAAGCACAAAGAAGCTATTTACCTGATCACACAAATCCAGCTAAACAAATGCATTTGGGTCCATCTGGCTACTTTACATTTCTTTTTCTAGAAGGCTCCACTCTAGAGACAGCATTCCACAAATGCAGAAATCAAGAAGAAAAGCCTGGAGCTAAGGAAAACTTCCAATCCTTTTAACTTCATCTGTTTGTTTATATTAATTTTTAAACAGATTGATGGCTTGGTTTCCCTGCAAAGGAACAGAGTCGCAGGAATACGCAGCAGCAAACCTGAGTTCTGGGAGGAAGGAGATGGCAGAAAGAATCATGCTATTAGAACTAGTTATCTAAAATCATAATGTCGTGAAACAAACCAGGCACAGAGAGACAGGTATGGCATGATGTTACTCGTAAGTGGGATCTAAAACAGCTGACCTCAGAGAAGTTGAGGGCAGAATCATGGTGAACAGAGACTCGAGAGGATAGTAGAGGTGAAGACATAAAGGAAGTAGCTAAAGGAAACTCAGTAGTAATCAACTGGGAATGAGAAGTCCTAGTGTTCTATTACACAGTAGGGTAACTAAAGACATCATGTTTAAAAAAAAAGCCAGAAGAAATAATTTTTTATGCTTTCATCATAAATAAATTATAAGTGTTTAAGAGATAGATATATTTACTCTGATTGGACTCTATATAATGTATACATGTATCAAAATATCCATGCAACCCTATAAATACATACAATTGTAGGCATTAATTAAAAGGGAAAAGAAAATCATGTATGCCAACAAATTTCTCATGAGTCACTACAGATATGGGGCAGCATCTAAATCAGACAGGTTGGCATGTAGATCACTCCAGACAAAGATCCTGATGGCAGGTTCATTCATCAGATACGCTGGACATTACTTGAGCTGATCTGGAAGAAGCTCTACTACAGCACCTGCAAACACAAAAGGCAGGCTTGAATGATGTGGGGATTCAAGGGAGTGAAAGGCCCTGAACTACTTCATAACCTGTACTTCATAAAGGCCCTGACTTTATTTCATAATCCCCAAATGTTTAAGTGTGATAAAAAATACTTGAAACATAATTTTTAAAAACTGAAAAGAATAATAAAGAAGAGTTGACTATAAAATATAGATGATACTGAAAAGATTTTCCAGGCTAATATGGTAAGAATTAAAGCTGAAATGGAATCTTGACACTCTGAACCCATGCTCAAAATAAAGTGAAGAGGATAGGGAATGACTAGACTATTGGAGGCTAAGCTTTGGTCGATCAATGGGACTTTGAGACTCTCTTTTGTTGAGGGATGGGGTGGGCATTGCATAAAATTTGTATTGCTACTTGGCAGTAAAATAAAGGACACTCAAATAAACAGGAGAGTTCTTAAAACTGGGAAACATTTACCATACTAAATCAGAAACAAGAACAGCAAACCTCAAACAAGGGAGCTGGCATAACAGCAAATTAGATGATGACATGAACTACCAAGCACTTAGCATCAGCTAAGATTTACTGAGTACTTACTATGTGGCAAGTGTTGTTCTGAGCAGTTTCCATGTGCACTATGTGGGTCATTATGAGTCTTATCCCTACAGAGCAGTTAAGTAAAGATGAGCCAGGAAACTGACATAGCCTGACATCAAAGTCTCTTTTGTTAACCTGTTCTCAACTGCTTTCCCAGGGCAGATGAGAACCATATATAGAAGACACCAATCCCTGATAAGCAATCAAAGAAAATGCAGAGGCAAACACAGATGCTAAGGAGACAGAGCTTTCTTTTCATCTGAACGTTCCACAACCAATTGGAGAGCCATCAGATTCCTTTAGGGGGTTGTTGCTGTGGTGTAGCAAGTAGAGCCACTGCCTGCAGTGCCGGCATCCCATGTGGGCACCAGTTCAAGTCCCAGCTGATCCACTTCCAATCCAGCTCTCTGCTATGGCCTGGGAAAGGAGTAGAAGATGGCCCAAGTCCTTGGGTCCCTACACCCACATGGGAGACCCAGAGGAATCTCCTGGCTGCTGGCTTCAGATCAGTGCAGCTCTGGCCAGTAAGACCAGTTGGGGAGTGAACCAGCAGATGGAAGACCTCTCTCTCTCACTCTTTACCTCTCCTTTTCTCTCTGTGTAACTCTGACTTCCAAATAAATAAATAAATCTTTAAAAAAAACCTTTAGAACACATATTCCCATTTTACTTAACACCTACATTTTAAGCATCACTAAATTCAATGGCCTGGGAAAGTTTGGTAAGGCCACAAAAAGACAACTTCCACCACCTTTAATCAATGCAGAATATACTGTGTTTCAATATGAGAGGGCTACATTGAGAAGAAAAAGCTGTGGACTATAAAATAGATGTGCTTTCTTCTCTCTGTCATTCAGCTGTCTTTAAGATGATAATTATACAGCCTCCTGTAGTTCACCTCTCCAAGCTCAAAAGACCCTCC